ATATATATATATATATATATATATATATATATATATATAGACAGATATATGGATAGATAGATAGATAGATAGATGGAAAGATTGATAGATAAATAGATAGAAACCATGCTTCCACGTTCTGTGTTGAACTGCGTCAACATTGAGTAGCAGTGAAGAGTTGACTAAAAGTGATGATCAAAAATGACTACTTCACTGTTTAAAAACATTTTTTAATCAGGGGTTTTTGCAAGAATAGAACTGTTTTGGCGAGATGGGGGCCTGAGTGACATAACTTGTCAAAACATTATTGTTTAATAGCTTACAAATTAAAACAGCACAAACGCAGTACAAACAAATGAGACCGTTTTGGCGTGATTTGGACGTTGATGGGGGTCTGAGTGACGTCACTCATTGAATCATTATGGGTTTATATCTTGAGAATTAAAATAGCGCAAATATTTCTTTTAACAGCACAAACCAGCACAAATGTAACACACACAAATGAGACCATTTTTGTGCGATTTTTGTGTGTTGATGAGGGGCTAAGTGATGTCACAGATAATAAAATATAATGTTGAATGTCTCAAAAACGTTGCCAGCACAAACGATGATTCCTACACCACAAACCAGCACAAACGAATAGTAGTATTTTTATTCCATTTCAGACCACATGGGGCAGCCAGCTTCACAGAGGTGGCAATATAACAATATTTTATCACTGTTGCGCTAAATTATCATGAAATGCTTTTCATGTTTATCTTTAGTACTCCTAGAATGCTGAACAACTGCATGAATCATAATAAAGACCATAGTTCGAATACAGACAGCCTGTTAACAGCAATTGCCAGTGTACAGTAACTGCATAAACTGCATTGTAACAAGTAGCTTTTGTCCACTTAAAGTCAACCCATAATGGCATTGATTTTGTTTTAAATGTTATTTATGTAGTGATTTATTATGTTGATTTCTTTTTACCAGTGTTTGATGTTTTTAACGCAATCGTTATATAAATCATTGTACTTGCGTTTTTATGTTGTTTATACTTAGATGCATGTGGTGCTGTTGTTTTTGCATTGCATTATGTCAATTCCAGCTTATTAAGTAAACAGTATGATACATGTTGTGAAAATGCTTTCAAATATCATTCTCTTGTTTTTGCCATATCACTTAAGCTACTAGCACAATTGTAAAATATACCGTGAGGTTTGCACATATGCTAGGATTTGGAAAGTTCATAAGTGGCTAGTAGCTAGAATGTTTTAACAGCACAGAAACAGGTGATCTGTTTAGCTATTTATTATGGTCTGTATGAAGGTACTTTATTTAGCCAGCTGAAATGTAGCAAACTAAGCTAGCTAGCTAGCTATGCTACAGTGCTGTGGTCTAACACTGCGTTTGGCCAAAGGTCAGAACTACATTACCGATTCCCGGCTATGAAAAACTAAGGAACACTCCTCCTCAACTGGGAATTTCTACTCAAAAGGTTAAGACAGTTTCCTGAACTGTCAGTTCAACATTAGATGCATTAATACCAGTAACACAGTCAACAGTAATAAAATATATTGTAAATATATAGCAGTATTCTCTTTCAATCACTCAGCATACAGATCACCATTCTGAGAAAGTACAGCTAAAATGAATAGTACATGTCAAATAAGTTTCTAACATTGATAACTCGAAGCAATAGCCTCAGAAGAAAACATTATTCTCTCTGCTCTCATTTTTTAACTGTTTACAAGGTGTAGGTGTGGGAGAGTGCCTAGGTACATGGAGGCCCCCCAAGAAAATCCTTCCTAGGGCCCCCAAAATGCTAAAGCCAGCCTTGCTGCTGATACAACTTCATCACTTTACTCAGCTGATAGTTAGCATGCTAAAGACTACAAAGCTAACAACAGCAAAAAGAAAGGCCCTACACCACAGCTCTATACCAAAGCACATAGCCAAACAAAAACAAAACTATTTCTAGTTATTATGTACTGGCTAGTGTTTTTGAGTTATGCTCAAAATTAAATAAAATTGTCGCTACTGAAACATTTGGTTTATTATTATTATTATAATTTTGTATTGTTATTATTGTAGTAGTAGTGAGAAAATGGAACATTAAAACATCTGTGTTAGTAAAATAGACATAACTAAGGTATAGAAGTCACTCAAAGCAAAAGGATTTTATTCAAAAGTCCAAAACAGTTAAAAGTCCGAAATACATTTTCAACTCTTGACTATGAACCAATTTGGTAGAATTTGCCCAGCTTACCAGAATATGGTTTAATTTGCCCAGAGAAAGTCTGCTGACATCAATGAAAAAGAGACTGAATCAGTCATTAACACAGAAATGTATTGTTTATGATACGTGATATTACATTGCTGTTTTACACTGTCCTGTTCTCACGGAAGCAAATCAAAACGGCTTGTAGAATCACATGGCTTTGGTAAAAAGGACATATGCCAAAACAACAGAGACTTCACATTTCACAGTTCACAGTTTTTTTTTAGACATGGTCGAAAATTATGTGGAATAAAATTTAAGAACATTTTTGCCTTCTTCTGTAATGTTATTATTATTATTTTTTTTTTTTTTCTGGAATTCTGTTTCTGTTCTGAGTGTATAACTCATGAATTGGATGAAGTTGCCAACAGTTTCATGTATTTCTTGAAAATGTAATCTTTCAGTCAAGGTTTAATTTTTTTATAAACAGTTAATATTTTAGCACAATTCAGTATTTCCGAAAGCTGTTGAATTTGGCATTTAAGATGTCATTTAGAATCTCATGCAAACTTACTTACAAATATAAAAATATTTGGAGCACATTTTATTAATTTGTGTTGAATTTATTAAATAGAACATTTTAACATGATCTTTAAAAGAAGATCCATGATGTGACCTGCCAGGACCTAGGTGAATTAGAGTGGAAATAACTCAGTTACATGTGGCAGCTTTACTGTAGTTTAATGGAACAGCTCTCTTTCTTCTCTCTTTCCTGTAAGTTCTGCTTTGTGATAAGATGTGCGCATGTTTATGAGTCATTCCTGCCACCTGCTGTCACTTCTGCTAGTATTTCTCAGTTTGCACAGCACATTAAATCTTTCTCACTCCCTTACCACACAGGAAGAAGGCAGAGTTTGGTGTGATAACAGAAAAGCACGGGTAATAAAAAGTCTATATATGTAAATGTAACTAGTATTTCTTGTCTTTGCAGTTTTACAAATCCCAAAAATACTTGATTCATAAAAATGTGAATAGATCTATGTTCTAACAGTAAGACTGATAAATAGCCTAGCTTTAAAGAATTAATTTTTTCTTCATTCAAACAACATGTGGACAATGTTCAACCCCCATTATGAATTCATGTGGAACATCAGAACTGTATGTTTTTTCTTGTAATAAATTATTAAATAACACTTGTGAAAATGTGAAGAAAATATCCTTTTACATACAGTCATATGCAAAAGGTTGAGCTCTCCCAGTCAAATTACACGTTTTCTTGATTTTACTAAGTGAAAACACCTGGCTTTTGAACATCTACACTCTTAAAAAGAGGGGTTCTTTAGTGAAGACAATGGTTTCTATATATAACAATAAACACTCAAAGAACCATTTGCATGCTTAAAGGGTTCTTAACATAGTGAAATGGTTCTTAAGATTGATGGAGAAATACACACAATGTAAAGAGCAACATGTATTTTTTAAGCTATGTTAAAAACTGAAAAATGACAAAAATGGTGATATGAGGTTTTGTTCTGTCAGCAGCAATATACAACACTTTTTGTATCAATCTGAGAAAACATTTCATGATGCAAAGAAGCCTTTAAGCGTGTAAATTGTTATTTGAGTGTTTATGGTCCTATTTACAGTGTGTCCCAATTCAGGGGCTGCTTCCTTGAACCGAAATGAGACGGTCTGCTTCTACGGCGGCACCGCTGTTCCTGCTCTTACCGTTCCATCACAAAATGCCGCTCCTGTCAAGTTCTTTTAAAGGTCTTTAAAGATGGAGCCAGAAACTTTATTTATTTATTTATTTTTTTTCATTTATTAGAGCTGGAGATGCTTCACCGCCGGCTACTGATGAAATTAGGGTTTTTTTTTTTACACATCCTCAGTTTAAACTCAATACTTATATTTAAAAATGTACTCTTCAGCCACCGTTTGCTCCCCTGCTGCTGTCGCCCTGTTCCTGAAACCTCGCTGGCACGCAATGAATGGATATGTTGGCTGGCGAAGGATTCACCCATTGGATCCTTCATAGCCATGGAAAAGAAGGACACATTTCTCAGCCGCATGTGAAGGAGCCGTCGACATGGCACAGCCTAGTCGAGCCGCTGTGACGCAATCAGCCTTCAAATGCCTTCGAAGGATGCAGCCCCTGAATTGGGACACAGCTATAGAACCATTGTCTTCACCAAAGAACCCTTGAAGAACCATCTTTTTTTTAAGAGTGTACAGGGAACAAACTTAAATAAGGCATTTTATTAAAATATGAGTGCACAACTACTTTAGCTACTTTAACACATTAGGAAAGAAATGTGCCTTAACTTTTTCATAGGGCACATTTTATGTTTTAGTTTATCCCAATATATTAAATTCAGCAAATAAACATTAAATGTGCATTAAAATGTGCAGCGGTGTGTTCTCTGTAGAGGATGTGTTAACTTATTTTCACTTAGAAGAACAACAAAACATGTCATGTGACCACTTATGATTTTGATGTTGGGACAGGGCATGTGACCAGCAAGCCTGCATAAGAATCACTCTAAGTTGCACAATTAAAAAAATAATTTATCTATATTATGATTGTCCAACCATGAGTACATGCTGTTCCTTGGTTTTCTCCGTTCTCTAGCGCTCAAAAACTTTCATATATAATACAGTCCTGGGCTCACGTGCATGCCTGTCCATTGCCTCCTCTGCCTATTGCGCAGGAACACAAGATCCTGTGGTACTCAGCAGGATTAACCGGTACACCATTGAAAGCATTACTCCCATTGGTTCTTCAATATGTGTATCTTAGTTCTTTCCATTTTTTCTACGTCGCTTTCACAGATGAGGCTCCTTTTTTTTTGACAACTTTATTGGGTCGAGAGCCAATCTGATTTTCGATCAATGATGCCACCCCTCGCACGGTTGCCATGGGGTCTTTCACATATACAATGTCCTTGTGGTGCTGTTGGGGTTCTTGCTTCCGGCACAGTCTCCCCATCAGCTCCTTGGGCGTGGATGGTGACAACATCAGCATAACCACGGGCTCCAGAAAGACATTGCAGGAGCTGGAGATGATGGCCTCACTCCTCCATGACACGTTTTTGTTCTGCACAAAGCCCACCACATGTGACACGTTGTAGGGTGCATAGCACACCACAAAGACGAAGAGAGCAGAGAGTTCCATGGCCAACACCCGTCGCTTGCTTCCGACCGGAAGGCAGGAGCGCCTGACCAGTGCCAGGCAGCGCAGCGTGCAGAAGGCTGAGATCAGCAGCGGCAGCAGGAAAAGCAGCAGTGCCATCTCTAAACGCAGCGGCACCAGCACTTTCAGCTGCTCATCCGAGAACTTCTCGTAACACTTAGACATGTTGCGCTGATACGAGGACACAAAGTAGGCCCCTTCCTCTGCCACCAAGGCCAAGCCCAGATGCAAGAGCACTATGGCCCACAGGAAGGCACTAACCAAGCATGAAGTGCGGGCTCGGCGGTAAAGCTTGTAGGTGATGGGGAAGGCGATGCTCAGGTAGCGTCCGACCGCCACGGCCGTGAGCAAAAGGCCACTTGCGTAGAGCGAGGCGAAGAGGAAGAAGTTGTAGATGGGACAGAGCAACTCCGGCAGTGTCCAAATATTAAGGATGGTCTCAGCTGCTTTCACAGGCATCCAGGCTACTAGAACCAGATTGGACACGCACAGGTTGATGGCGTAGACCACATTTGGAGTGGCGCCGCGTTTACGAGCCTTGCGGACGTAGATGAAGAAGACCAGCAGGTTGGCGGGGAGTCCAAGCAGGAAAGTGAAGGAATACACGGTCAGGGAGATGCAGTCAAAAACAGTAATATACTCCATCCTCGTTAATGCTGGAGATCATGGGTTTGGTTGTTCTTCTCATTACCTATTTGAAGCCCTTAAGTATACAGATCTTTTTTACATGTTCCAGAGGATTGAAGTACCTCAATCAAGTCCCACAGTGAAGCAGTACAATCCAAGATAATGTTGAGAGCTCTGTGAAATAAAAATCCAATTAGTCAATCTGAGAGACAAACGTGTACACAGTGGAGGCGAGACAACAATGTGATGCCAAGCCAGTGGAGAGATGGGTGTGTCTACCAGGGTTTAAAGGTGACTGGCTAGTTCCTTGAGGGGCTTGGCTTGATTTTGTCGTCAGTGTAGTCAGAGAGTCCACTCAGGCAGCAGTAATGGAGTAGGATGGCATTTGAACAGCCTGGTGCTGTCTTAATTGCCTTCGGTGCACACGACAACAGCAAGGCCACATCAGCCCCCTTTAGTGAAATGATTCAGAATAATTGAGCTTTTCAGGAAGCCATGCCCATCCAGCTCTAGCTCGCTGTCTCTAAATGAAATGAAGGGTTAAATCATAAAGCCATAAAACCTGGCTAGTTGATGGTGATGCCAGGGAGGCGAGGGCAAGATTCAAAAAGCAGGTGATGGGATGATGGTGGTTATTGCACAATAGGGATTAAATTTATGTCTTTATAGGAGGGGGAGAAAAGCACTTCGATCGGTAGGTCTAAACCTGTAGATACCTGTGTGTGTGTGTGTGCTGTGTGTAGTTTTGTGTACACATAAGGAAAATCTATACTCATCACTGATGTTTGTACAGGTTTGTAGCCAGATCTGATACCGTATATGTGCAAACGACTGCCAAATACATTACAGGCAGCCTTGATTTAGATATGACTTAATATGTCAGATTATGTCACTGGTTTGAATTTGAAATGGGGCAACAAGTAACTGCGTGTTGTACTTGATGGCATGCGCCACAACCTGGTTCAGTTGCACTCCAGCAAACAGCAGAGATTCTTTCAATTATAAACAATATAATTACATTCCAGTTATAGTTATATTCAATAATATTGTTGTTCCAGCACACATTTTCATAATTTACATGTGTTTCGTTTCAGAAGTACTAACAGTGGAAAAAGTCAATATTGTTATTTTTGTTGTATGCTGCAAAGATTAAGCATGAATTACAGGTCAAAAGATGAACTGCAATGATGGCATTCTTTTCTATTATTGTACACAGATGTCACTTAAGCTAAAATTAATGATAGAATGGCATTGAGTGAGCAATTAAGGTTTAGCCTCCGGTGAAGTGCCCTGATTGATTAGCCAGCAATACCACATCACATGCTCATTATAGCTTATCAATAGCGACCTACGCTGTCAGGAAAAAAGGTACTGTGCAGGTGCGTTTTTCGTTCATCAAGGTACAAACAATGTAAATGTGCCCTAAAAAGGTACACCAGTGGTTTAAGGTCCAATTGTGTACATTAAATATTCTTTCCCAGAGGAAAGTACATATTTGTACCTTTTCATAATCTACACTTAAAAAAAAGGTACGAAACTGTCACTGGGGCGGTACCCTCAAAGGTACATCTCAGCATCTTTAGTCAGGGAACATAATTGTACCATAATCCATTGAAATCTTATTTTTATAAGTTGTATTGACTCCACACACCTCATCTCATCTCCAGGCTTTTTATTTTATTGTTCTGTTTTAAAACATTAGGTTATAAAAAGGTACAAATATGAACTTTTCCACTTGGAAAAATGTATTTAAGGTGCACAATTGGACCTTAAAACCACTGTTGTACATTTGAGGACACATTTACATTGTTTGTATCTTGATGAAAGAAAAACGTACCTGCAAAGAACCTTTATTTCTAACAGAGTTAGATGTTTAAAAACAAAATATTAAATGTTTAAAAACAGAACAATAAAATAAAATGATAGGGTCTGTGGAGCCAATGTAATTTAAAAAATATAATTGTAATTGATTATGGTACAATTATGTTCCCTAACTAAAGGTACTGAAGACGTACCCTTGAGGGTACCACCCCAGAGACAAGAGGGGTAGCCTTTTCTGAGAGTGTAGACTAATGTTCAGAAGTTTGGAGATTGTATCATGATGTTAGTACTCCACAACTTCAACTAATTTCTAACAAGTAGAATTTTTTTATGTGTCCAGAAAGATGAACAGAGCAGTAAATGATTCCATGACTGAGAAAGCTGTAGAACACTGAGAATGAATTTTGTAATTTGCATTTAGGAAGTTGTGATCAAATCTCAAGGCAAGTGATGTAAAATTAATAACTTTTTTAAAAAAGGTTTTTTTTTTTAAACATTTTTAAATATACCACTTGGAGTCTGAACTGTGTAAGTTATTACTGAATAAAATAAGCAATTATTAAAATGACATGTATCTCCAAACTATTTAATGGTGGTGTAAATATGATACATTATCTTATACAAATCAACCTGAACCAAATTTGCTAAATCAGTCTAATGTAAATTTAACATTGTGTGTATCATCTTTGTGGAACAAAACCTTGGATGTCCATTTTTGTCCATTACGTGTTAATTTTAGAACAAATGGGCCAATAGAAACAATCCAAAGTGACTTAAGAACACACAAGGAAAAAATAATGTTACAGTCACTTCCGTTGAAAGTAAAGAATGTTGTTGCCTTCTCCTGTAAGTGAAGTTTTGTTCCAACAGCGACAATGTATTAAATGAACAAATTCTGTTAGTCAAAAACTACAGTTGGAACAGTCCAGAACCACAACTAAGCACTTTTTACATCATTTTTATTTGAATTAAGCTGATTGTCAAGGCTCAAAACTACAGACATCACAGCACACACAGCAACCCACACAGCACCTTTCAAAATGTAAGAATCTACAAAGTATGCGACTGCAATGGTCAACTTTTGAACATGTAGTAGTTTAATTTAAATAAAAACCATTGTTATAAATACGTACCAAGTATATGCACTCCGGTGTGTTGGGCCCAACTTGATAATATTTGCAAAGCATTAAACTTTACTGTGTAATATCCTCTTCCTCTTTTCTTTCCCCCAGAGACAGTGTGACACAAACAGACTCATTTAGAGACATTAAGGTCACATGTGGAACAGGCACACTGCAAACTGCAGGATCGATCAGACTCCCTCCAGCTGTGTGAGCGTTTGAGAGCATAAGCTTTTCTTAATTATTGAGTGTGTGTGTGTTCTTGTTTGCCAGGTCCTTTTCACCCTTTGTTTTTTTTTAAAGCAAAACAGTCCATCTTTATTAATATACTGAAGTTTAGTAGCATCATTAGCTTTACTTAAAAAGTTTTGCTGCTGCATTTCATATGTAAACCTAAATGTAATAACACAAGTACATTTCATTTACATTATTCACAACATTTTTCCCCACTGATTCTAAACTTCTACATAACACAAAGTATACACTTAAAAAATTTTTAAGTTTTAAAGGGTTCTTTAGTAAAGAAAATGGTTCTATATAGAACCATGAACACTCAAAGAACCTGATGCATGATTAAAGGGCTCTTGGAATCGTAAAAGGGTACTTAAAATTGATGGGCAGTGTGCTGTAGATGGTTCTATATAGCATCAAAAAGGGCTCTTCTATTGTACCAAGCCTGAAATTGTAACAATAGAAGAATCCTTTTTGGTGCTATATAGAACCCTTTTCAAAAAGGTTCTATATAGAACCACATCCAACACATTCTCTCACAATTGGAAGAAACCTTTTGCAATGCAAAGAACCCTTTAATCATGCAAAGGGTTCTTTTCATGTTCATGGTTCTATTTAGAACCATTATCTTTACTAAAGAACCCTTGAAGAACCATCTTTTTTAAGAGTGGAGTGAATAATTTGTTATGATATACAGTACTGTGCCAAAGTTTTAGGCACCTGAGACAATTCTGTCTAAAAAAGCTGCTTATTTGGGCTAAATTTTGGGCATCTTAGCACAATAATGATTCTTAAGTGGCAGAGCAAGCATCACACTCAACACTCTCTCTACCACTTAATATGGTCTTAAACACTAACATGCTCCTGGCAAAAACTGGGCTCTGGGCAGTAAGGTGAATACACCAGTCATCTAGTCAATATATCTAATATTTCTCATTATGACATTGCTGTAATAATAATATGATCATTTTGTTTTAAATACTTGATCCAGTGGCAGCCCTGTACAGTATTATTAGTTATCATCCAGTATCAGGGTTGGCTGTTTAATACTTAATTGAGTTAAATCAGGAGTGTTGGTGATGGATTTGAACAAATGTCTGCAGTGACTGGAGGTATCTGGAACCAAACCTGCATTCTTCCAACTACCTCCCAACTACTTTTTTGATAACAAGAAATTCTTGTTATATTTTTACTGCCTTGATGTTTGTTTTTAATTTATTCTGTTACATGGTGTTTTTGCAGGCAGAAATACCTCTATTGTCCAGACAAACAGTTTAAACAGTGTGCTTAGACTTTTCCACATTATTGTACAACTAACATAAAAAAAAACATCAAAATGCACTAAACACTCATAAAATACTTTTTTTTTTGTGTGATGCTTCTTGTTTTCAGTATTTCTTGATGCTTTTAATAGGAAGACTAGGACGAACAAAGGCTTTCGGGAAGATATGGAGTTTAGGAGAAAAGCAGGAGCTTTTTGGGTGAAGCTGTGATAAGTCAGTGAAAGGTTAAACTAAGTCAGTTCAGGCTGGCTAACAGTCTGAGTGTTTAGCTTAGGCTAGCTGTAGCCTGCCTCTGGAGTTGGCGAGGGGCACCACAGCCATGGACGAGGTGTCACTTTGAGCAGTGGGGGTCAGGTGGCGACGGGTCTGCATGCTGCGCTGCTCCAGAGCCAGGGCCTCCTGCTTAAGAGACAGATCCTCCAGCATCTGGGCTTCATGATGTTGCAGAGACTGCAAGGAGTCCCTGAAAATCAGAGCAAGAGAAAGGATTTGAGTCCAGACCAAAGACCAAAGTTAGGAGGTAGCCTTTTGTTTTATAGACCTAAAACAGGAACTCAGTTCCTTTAGATTTTTTTCAGGTACTTCTTTTAGCCCTTCTGTTTATACACTGGGCTTTTTACTAAAAACACCTGCCTTGTAAGTCCATCAAGGACGTTAATTTCTGCAGAGCTGTGGCCCACCAGGAACTCAGTTTCACACTCCAAATCTAGTTCCTTATCATATCACAGAACCACTGTTGGCTGGATATTGTTGGACGACTCTTGAACTCGTCTGGTGGGCCAGACGTGATCTTGACTTTTCAGCCATGTTAACTTGTCATTGTGCTAACAGCAGTGTGCAAAGTACCCCCTGGTATTTGGGATTTCCCATTTTGGCTGGCTTCTCCAGAGTTGGCAGGCTGCTAACTCACTCGCCATGATTGGTTTAACAATTATTCTTTTGAAAATGCTCTTTTCTAGTTTGGTAATGTGGTCTTCCACACATCAACTGAGATCTTTAAGATCTCCTCTTTTGTCTTCGGTTTGAGAAATAGGTAACAATTCACTCTTTCCACAAAACTCTTGGGAAAGTGGGATAGTTTTCAGATTTACAAATATGCTATGGCATATTATAAAGTTTTTTAGATGTATCTTAGGCATAGTTACAGTTGCTAGGCTGTGAAGGACAAACTGGCTGAACCAGTCTGCTACAGCGCATTCTACAGACATTCAGGGGGGTCTAAGTTGTTAATTAGGGGGTTTCAGACCCCCAGGACCCTGTGTATTTTGCACCTTGGCTGACAGTATGCTTGATGTCCATCAGTGTTGATGAGCACATCATCGACCCCCTATCTTGGGGTGTGCCTTTAGGAGGTGTTTTCAAAATTTCACACTCAGAGTTGTTCCCATCCACATTATTACCACAATTTCTCATGGTTGTCCCTAGACATTTGTTATGTGATCATATCTGACCCCATGGGACTACTCTCAACCTAGACAGGGCTGTTTCTGAACATTTAGGGGCTCTAAGCAACATCCTACTTGGGGGCTCCCACCACCCACCATAACTATTTTAAGATTCACTTTTTCGACTATTTATATTAGGTACAAGTACATACTTGGAGCTTTCTGGTAACTCAGGGGCCCTAAGCAACTGCCTATACCACTTATAGCAAAAAATGCCCCAGAACCAAGCTGTGGCAAGGAAGTTAATGAAAACCCTACCAGCACTGCTGTGCCTGATATACCCATACCAGCAGCACACACACTACCACCTGGTGATAAATGGCCCAGTGGTCAGAAATGGACAAATGACACACGACAGTCTGTTATTGTACACCTATATCATGTACCTATAGCATACAAGACTGACTTGAAGAAAGTGGCCAGTGTGTTTAAGCACAGTGTAAGTGTTTCTATCAAGGACACATTTAAAACAGTGTTACAGCTGAATGTAGTTTGACAGCTTCATGCAATTTTATTAGGTTATTTTACTGTTTGTCCTGCAACATGAACTCCTTTAAGTGTCTTTTGGTTTGAATGAAATCTTTAACAGGTAAGCACTAATGAAGACACACTGATAGACTGGAAGACAAAAAGTTACATTGTCATCTTATATCTAGTCTAAATATCTAATGTTTCTCATTTTGAGGTTTTGATTGCATTATTCACATTATTCAGCTTATTTCTAGATCTAGAGGCAGATAATTTTATGTTTTTCACGACATTATCCCTAAAAAAGCAAAATTTGATTAGATATTGATAGGAGATACAAGATATTTTTTGCAGTATAAAAAAAGACTGCACATAGGACACTTAGATAGGATAGATAGAATAAGTAATACGCACTGAGCCTGAGCCAGTTTCTGTTTCAGAGCCAGAATGGTAGAATCCAGCTGTCTGGCCTCCTCCACCAGCCCATACTGCACCTGAATGGAGAGCATTAGCACCAATTAGACCACTTTAAATGGTACCAACAGACAAACTTGTACTGAACTTAAAACATGAAAGAACATTTCAGGAACATGTCAACTTATTTCAAGAAAAAAAGTCCATTATGAAGTCCTGAGGTTTACCTCATCTCTGCACAGGTCCAAACCAGGCCTCTTGGTCCTGTTCTCCAAACGAGTGTGGACCAGCTTTAGTGGAGCCATCTTAGCCTGCATGTCCCTCTCCAATCCACGGATATCTCCCTCCAGGTCAGTTATCTCATCCTGAGTCTGATAGACAGACGGGAGAACACAGACCAATACACAAACTAAATCAGAGAATCAAATCTCCTTTCCAGTTCTTCAGTACAGTCTACTTTTAGGCCAAGAAACATGAGATGAAGGAAGGGGCTGAAATGTTACAGTTTTTAGCTGCCATTGGAGTTCCTGGAGGGCCTGTTCCAGATGATGAGTGCGTTTACGGAGGGTGAACTCTGTGGCTATGCGCTGAGCCTCCAATTCATTCTGCACCTGAGGGAAAAGGCACATGCTTAGAATGGAATACTTTCTTTCTAGGGCTGTAACAATTAATCAGTTCAAATTGTATTACTCAATTAAAATGATATATGCAGGACTGTGCAAGTGTCAGGAAAAAAAGAAAAGCAGAAACATTTATATATATATATATATATATATATATATATATATATATATATATATATATATATATATATATATATATATGTATATAAAATGACTTAAAAGCTTCAAAAACTATTTTTCAGTGTTTAGTGTGTCCACCCTTTGCCTTTGTTACAGCTTCTGTTATTCTCAGGAGACTTGATTTCAATTTTTCAAAGAAATCTGCAGGGATATTTTTCCAAACCTCCAAAGTTCAGTCTTAGAAGTTGGTTACTTTTATGAATCTCATGAACTCTGGGGTGGTCAGGCCATTGTTCTAAGAACACCAGCAACCTTCTTTGCTTGATTTGCAAATTTTCTTTGTCTGTTTCCTTTTCTCGGTAACAGCTTCCTGACAGCTACACATTCTTTCAGACTCATAGTGTTGATTTGTCTTCTCACAGTGGAAGAATAGACAGAAACACATGGATTTTGTCAGACCTAAAGCAAGAGTGGAGCTTGGTTTTCTCCTCTCTCTCATGAAAGCCTTAAGTGCTATAAGTACTGCTCAGTTGTTAGGAGTTCCGTTTGCTCTGCATTTTCTAATAATTCTGTGAGCTCCTGTTTTAGAAAGTACTGTTTTTTCACTTATTTTCCATTGACTTTCTGTTTGCTTATGCAAGTGGATTAATTTCTGTCTGATCTCCTGAGAAATATCTTCTAAAAAATGGATAATTTGTACATAATGGGTGTTTTGACTGGAAATGAAATAAATGATGGGTGGTGTCTGGCTTTTGCAAAGAACTGTATATTAGCTTTTTATTTGTATAACAAACCGTTATTCTACTGAGATGAAAAGAACCTTGTGCTATGTCTTTTTTTTTTTCAGAAAATATAGACAAATACACAGATAGATTTGGATCTAAGAAGAAGAGAAATAATCAGTCTCAAAGATTCACGGAAATTCACACCACCAACCACACGCACACATCAGCTATCATACCTGAGCTCTAGAGATACTGATATTCTCTCTAAGCTGTAGAGAAGCTTGCATCTCTTCTTTGGCTCTGGTTACATTGTAGTGGCTGAACTGCTCCCACTGCTGGGGGGTTGTGGAACTGCAACACCAATTTCAGATTCAGCAAGAGCTGCTACAAAAGAAAGTGTTCTTCATCTCAACTGCCCTTAAATTGTATCAGTATAAATTAAATGATATTTATTGATATATATTGTGCCATAATTCTGCTGTGGCTCAACCAATGAAAATGCACTAAAAAAAAGGTCTCATTTTGTTCTGAGAGGTCTCATCACTGGCAGAGTCTAATCTGGCTTGATATCATGCAGGAGAAATTCGAGAAGAAACAAACAACTTAAGCTTTAAGAACCAATTTAAGAAGAGCTATAAAACATAAATGTTGGTATTTATATGGTAAATCAATCATAAAGACATGACTAGTCTTTTAGTAAATTGTATACGGTATCTGTGCTTTGCACTATAATTATAATAATTAGTAAATAAGTAATATAATAATTCTGTTTGTTTATTTTTCATTTTATTTGACTTATTTTTGTCCTTCCCTGTTTCTTCTGTCTGTCTACTTGAAAATAGAAAAAAAGCATAAAAAAGAAAAAATGTCTCGTTAAGGCCATTATGAGAACAATTCCTCAACTGAAGGATTACGAGCTAGTAGCCTAACTTCTTAGCTTACCCAGGTGGAACTCTAGTGGGATTGGGCTTCAGTGAGATTTCAGGTGATGTCACAGTGAGGGACAGGCAGGACATGTCTACATCCAAAGCCTCCACCTTGTGCTGGAGGTCAAGGATCAGTTGGTGACGGGCTTCCTGCAGCAAACTGAACACATTTGTCACTGCTAGGGCCAACAGACCCCTAGAATTGACTCTGTTTAAAATAGCCAAATGCATGTTGCTTGCATACTGATTGTGTCCAAGTATAGTAAGTCGTATGCAGTAAATGACCAAAATGAATTTCTCCAGTGTGTCAAAGACAATCAGATGATGTACTACTCCAGCCAAATGTCACAGCATGTGGACAGGATTATTTTTGTGATATACACATCCCATAATGCCATGTGGTCATTTCAGGAGGACATAACTGTAGATGTAACCACCTGGTGATCATGTGATGCTATGGTATAGTACATGGTACATAATGGCAATTGAGAGGATACTATATTGTATAGTACTATGAGAAGTAGTATGCAATATACAGGATATACTAGTACAGTATGCAGTATACAGTATGTACCAGTACAGTATAACGTATAAAGTATAAACTGGTATAAACACACATTTATATATATATATATATATATATATATATATATATATATATATATATATATATATATGATGTATGATATTACAGGGACAAAGTGCTATATTCATACATTGTAGAAATTAGTGCTGCTAAATGAAACGAAACGCTTTTAAATTCCTTTCTCATTAGGAAACTTCCCATTCCATTCTGTTTATCATTACACATCCCCTCTTGCTCTCTCTCACACATTTGTACTCTCTCTCGCCCTCACCACAGCTGTTCGAAGGCTTGGTCAATACGCTGCTGCAGGACCCGCTGTGCCCCATCAATCACGTCCACTTCCTTTTTCAGCTCTGCTTCCACTGGGTCACTAACCAGCTCATTACCCCGGCGACCCTCTCTCAAGGTCAGGCACTCAGCAGAGACCTCTAGGGGCAGCACTGTGGCTGCAAGGGCTCGCTCTGTCTCTTCCTTTGCCTAAAGACAAACATTTCGCTTATCATTTAGAAGAGATTGCCAAAAACAAAAGCCTGGTGTCATTAAAAGAAACTGGGCAATTCTGACAAAGATGCAGATTCTAGATTTTCAAGCAAAAAACATTTATGTTCATGTGTAGTAGAGGATATTTTATCATGATTTGAATTTGTTGAAATTGTTGTTGTGTATACTGAAAGAAAATCATCCCTTACATTTTGTCATGGTTTTCTCAATAAAGAATACAAATATAATTTGTTACATAACCATGTATTTAATTCTGTAATTAAATGTAATAATAATTATTTAAAATATGTAATGAACAGCAAAACCACAACAATAAACCTAGACATGTATAGGTTAAAACAACTGTGGATCTGCATCAAAGGTTAGCCGTCAGTCATACTGCTGGTAGTCTCTTGAATTTGATGCCAACAACACATTCCAAAAACGTTGGGACGGGGGCATGTTTACAACTGCGTTTCATCAGCTCTTCTTTTAACAACACTCTGTAAGTGTTTGGGAACTGAGGAGACGCTGCTGTAGTTTTGAAAGTGAAATGTTTTCCCATTCTTGTTTGATACAGGATTTCAGCTGCTCAACAGTTCAGGGTTTCGTTTGTCGTATTTTTCATCTAATAATGCGCTAAATGTTATCAGTGGGTGACAGGTCTGGACTGTATGCAGGCCAGTTTAGCACCCAGGCTCTTTTAATATGGAGCAATGCTGCTATAATACATGCAGAATGTGGTTTGACATTGTCTTGCTGAAATAAGCAAGGCCTTCCCTGAAAAAGACATCGTCTGGATTGCAACGTGTTGCCAAAACATGTATATATCATTCAGCATTAATGGTGTCTTCACAGATGTGCACTAATGCACCCTTATACCATCATGAATATTGGCTTTTGAACTGTGCACTGATAACAAGCTGAGTGGTCCATGATTTCCAAAAAGAATTTCAAATGTTGATCTGTTTGACCACAGGACACTTTTCCACTTCACTTCAGTCCAATTTAAATGAGTTCAGGCCCAGAGAAGGTGGCAGCATTTCTGGATCCTGTTTATATATGGTTTCTTCTTTGTGTTTTAGAGTATTAACTTGCATTTGTGGATGCAGCGACAAACTGTAATCACAGACAGTGTTTTTCAGAAGTGTTCCTGAGGTCATGCAGTGATTTCCATTACAGAATCATGTCTGTTTTTAATGTAGTACTCACTGCTGCAAATACTGTTTTTTGGCCTTGTCTCTTACATACAGAGATTTCTTCAGATTCTTTGAATCCTTTCCTTTTTGGAAATGGGGTTGTAAATAAACTGTATGTTATAATTTTATATGTGTGTGTTAGCTTAACTGTTTCCAAAGCTCTCCTCGAGACGTTCAGTATTTACAATTACCATCCTCTACCTGCTTTAGCTAAGCAATCCGTTAACACTTTCTATGAATACAACTTACAAGCTCTTACAATGGGGTTATAATATCATATGACCATCAATAACAATCTATACCCATAATGACAAATAAGTTCTGTGTGTGTTTATGAGTAGGCAGGTTTGTTAGTCATAATGCACTCTGCAAGCCGGTTCTAACTTACTTAGCACTGACAATATAACATGTTAGGAACACTAGTTTTAGGGCATTATGTTAATTCACAAAGCAAAACAAACATAGCTATAATGTGTAATTCATTGTTATAAAGTGACTGGTGTGCAGCGAGAACTCAGGACTCTGTACTTATAAATACAATAAAATGTTTTATGTTTTACAGAAAAAAACACACTTACTACCAAGATAAAAAGTTTTGAACAATTTTCTGAGTTGCTTAAGACTTTTGCACAGTACTGTTTTTCTATAGTTTTATCAGATTCCATAGGCACCATCTGCATATGTTTCTATGTGTTTGGGCTACTTCATTCTTTTGGTCACAAGGTACTTGTGGTAGTTCTTTAGTAAACCTCTTTGGAATACAGTAACTATGATAAGGTACTAACTACTGTGAGAGCGTCTATTTCTGCATCCACTTCTTGTGCGCAGGCCTCCAGGCTCTTCTTCCAACGTGCGATGTCACTGATCCTGTCACTCAGCCGACGACTGCTGTCATACTCATCCCAGCTTGTCTGAAAGGAAAATGAAGAAACTTAGGGAACTAGACGGAGTGGATTCCTATGTGGTACAACATGTATAGGAGCACCTCTCTTACTTCTTTGAAAACCTAGGTGGTACAAAGTATCCCAAAGCATTCTTTTGTAGGCCAGGTTAGTGAATGTGCTGGTGATACCAAAGCTTATGCACATAAGGCGCTGCACGACTGTTCATTTCTACTAGTCGATTAGTCATTCAAAAAAATAGTCAACTACTCGTCATTTCCACATTTAAAGAAAAATGTTAGCGTTCTGGATGTCTGTGAAAAGTATTTTATTAGTAGCTCGCTTATAGTGGCTGGTTCTAGCGGCAGCTGCTGCAGTCTGAGGTGTGAGATGTGCACTGCTGGCAAGTTTATTTTATTTCAGTACATTTCAGCCTCAGGCACAAAGAAGTGCACAGCCAGGCTGAAGTAAACTGCACGCTAGAATCACCACAGCTCTCGGAATCTCACTTTTTTAACAGAATTAAAACTGGCTCTGGTCTGTGCACTGTCCAACAGAAAACAAACGATTGTTTGTCAAGCTAAATCCATTTTAAACGCTTTGTCATGCGCCATGTTACAAAAATTAGGAGGTACACCCTCACACCAGTTGCATCAAGTTTAAGCCTAGCTTTACAAATCTGCATTTTAGCGCAGTCTTATGCAGCTTGCAGTGGAATTGCCCTCACTTTGTGTAGTATTTCTAAACTTATAAAGTACTTTGTTCTTTGTGTTTAGCAGAAAAACTTACTCCTGTTCTTTCCTTCTTCCTGTTCACTGCAGATTTTACTGCCACTGCACTGTAAACTTAAATTAGTTGACTTTATTAGTTGAAACCATACAAAGTTATTGCCTTTAAAAATTAAGTTACTTAACAGATTCAAGCTTAAATAACTTTATATTTTAGTTCCAGTTTTCAGTGATCCACACTTCCTCAGCAAGTAAGGTTAAATAAAACAGCCCAATAATTAAAACGTTTCAGTTGAGCTGGCAGTACTGTACTTTTTTTTACTTCACTTACTCTTGATTTTGTTAACTTGTTAGCTTGTTAACTTGTGAACTTGAATCAAATATACTCCCTAGTGCTATGTATTGGTATCAATTAAAACAACCCTATTATATTAAATGGCTTAGATAAGACTAGGGTTACCCATTTCTAAGGACTTAAATAGCTTAATGCATACTTGCCTTTCTGTTAGCATTCATGGCTGTGGGCTGAACTAGTGAGAATAACAGAAGCATGTAAAATGCATCCAAACATTTTAGCATGAGAGTATTCTATGACACAAAAATAACATTATGCAAAGAGAATCACATTTATAAATTAGAAAAATTAGAAGAAACCAACAGATCCGCTAAGAATGCTGGAAAGCTTTTTGGCCATCAAAAGACTCTTTAGTTTGCAGGACTTATTCATTATATAAGAAATAATAAGTGTTGCTAGATTTCTAGATAAGTAATTCTAACAAATAAGTAAACCAGTTAAGCGCAATTGTTTTACAGTGTGTATTTCACATACTGTGCACTAGTGATCAGAAGTTGATTCCGAGGAGTTGGGTTCATGTCTTGGCCAGAGACTCTGAGAGTCAACATACTTGGAGTCGACTCTTAGACTCTGTCGACTGTTTTTTCACTATAATTGCCTCGAAGAACATTTTGATGGATGCATGTGTAAAGCAGGAAAGAAGAATTTCAGTAGCGTGAGTTTTCTTTATTTTCTTCATGATTAGTGTTGCTTATGATTAGAAATAGCACAAGGAACAAAAATGAAAGCCAAAAACAAACAATAATTTTCATAGAAAAAAGAGGATGAAGCTGAAGTTGACTTCTTCTTTGCCAGTTTTTTATTCAAATTTGAAATTCCATCTTAAACGCAGGTACATTCTGGTGCTGGTGCACTATTAAGGTAGCTGGTGCGTCATTTAAGGTGGAATGGAAAAGTTGAATAAGCAGTTGGAGAATACAAAGCCAACTTAAGACCTTGTAGAAATATGAAGACAGTAATGATTTTCTCAGTACATCAGTCCACGTTTCCCCTGCCTCTTGTTATGTAAAACAGCCTGATGGGAAGATGTGTTAAAACATTCGACAGGGCTCATTTGTCGGGCTATCTGATGTTACTTGGTATAATTATGAATTTTTATCATATTACTGTACTATTACTGAATTTTATCTGTAGCTACTCAAAAAATTAGCTAAACATTTAGGATGGTTTAATCTCTGCTAGATCCCTTTATCATCAGATCTGGTGCTGACTTGGTTAAAATTAAGAGGAGTCGAAGAGTCCACTCCAGCGGCAGAGGTCGAGAGTCGGAGTTGACTCCAGAAAACCCAGATTTGTGCATCACTAGCATCCTTGACTGCTGCCCACAGCGCTGACTAGTGGATTTATTAGTCGACTGGTAGTCTATGCAACGCCTAATGCGCACCCTAACACAAGATATTCAGCATCTTGTAAACCAAGTTAGAGTTACCAAGTACGTTTGCCTTAGTAACCACATTTTCTTACATTTTACATCCAGGAAACTTGAGTCTCTTTGATAAAACATCTGTCTTAATTGGTACTGCAATCCCTAAGACCCACCCCCATTCCTAATGCATTACCTTATTGGCTGTCTCATTTCGCAGAGCCCGCCCCTCTTGCCGTATCTCGTGTGCAATGTGTCGCCTGTGCTGTGCGGTCTCTGAGATCTGTTCATTGCTGTTCTCCCAGTCAGGCACTCTGCAGCGGAGGCCTGGCTTCATGCTCAGGGTGGCCATGACTAAAGAACAGCTGTGACAAACTGAGAATAAACGATTACTGAAATCCAGTCAGATCTTTTTATGGTGGATAGTGCAGGCAATGAATTTATTTATGTCATATATACACAGCCAGCCACTTTAATACCTACCCTTTGAGGTACACAGTCAGGCTTGGATCATCAAGTTTTCAGCCCCTGGGCACAAAGTATTATTTTTCAATATCACAGCAGGTTACATGAGGGCTGTGCAACATCACAATGGTAGCGTACTGACTGCAGTGCCACAATGTCACTACTGTAAGCACATATTCATTTTTTCCAATTAAGACAATCAAAACAATAGCAAGAGCACAAGTTAACATAAAGCCAACAACCAGTGTGACATTTCCATATAAAGCATGCATCTGATATGCACAACATTAACCTCAATGAAAAGGACAAATTAAAACTGGACAGCTGATATATGCATAATTAAGACAGAAAAAAAGCAACAAACCTAAAAAAAACAAACTGTCAAACATCCTAAGCTAAAGCATACTGCCATGGCAGGTGAGGAAAAACATATTTCATTTATATCTTATTCAGCTGGTGACCAGATATTATTTTATTATTTGGGTGGCAAATGTACACAAACATATGGTCCACCACCAATATAACATCTAGTTACCAACAGTACTGTTGTTAGAAACTGATTAGTGATGCAGGACAGCAGATGGGCTACAGACTGTAATTGTATACCTATACGACGCACCCATACGATACATTTAGGCAAAATAGGCTATAGATAAATGGGCTGATTTCTATTATTTATTATCATTATTATTATTATCATTATTATTATTATTATTATTATTATTATTATTTGAGAAAATGAATCAAAGAATGGCTTTGTGATCCAGGAGAGGACTATATGTAGGCATGCAGCCAGTTATTAGGTTTCTCAGTAAAATAAAACCTCAGCCTCACTCTCTGCTGGAACCTGTTTTACATTAGCTCTAAAAAGAACTCACATTTCTACTCCTTTTCTTATAAAGCTACGACCAAAAATCATCTAAAAAGTAAGAATAAGTTCATAATTCATATAAGAGTTTAGCAAATCGGCACATAAATGCGGCAGCATTTTCATTCTCAAAAGGTCTGGTAGTTTTGCGTTAAGCGCCTCGATGGCGTTTGACTCACCCACAGCGCTGGAATCCGCAGATGCTCTTTTGTGCGCGTGTAATTCAGACGCCACAGCGCTGCGGAACAAAGCGGCCGGTCTCCTAGCAACGAGGACGCGACTGCTCCTCAATAATTAAAGTGCCATAGCAACGAACATTAAACAGTCTCTCATTGGATGACGCCATCGTTCGAGGGTGCTCTGACATAGGAGATGTGGCGCGAGCCACTTTTTATAGATGTACAAAAATGCAGGTACAGGTATGAGGGAAAATATAGAATATGAAAGAGGAAAATGATGTCATATGAAGGATAAAGGAGCTGGGTTGCAAGTTAGGCTTCATTAAAACTGTTAGAGTATGTTATCTGTAGGTCACATGTATGTTAGAATGTAACCCTATTTGTTTTTTCCACAGGGTTCTTTTGCTAAGGTGAATCAGTCAGGCGGTAAAAAGTAACAATGAAGGCCAAGAAGCATTCAAAGCAACCAAGATAGCTAGGATATATCAGCCCACTCGGATTGATAAGGTCAGCACCCTGTAGACTGTTTGCCACGGCTGGTCCATCCCCAGCCATCTAGATTATTGTCCTGCAATGCAAAGCCTAACAAGTTTTTAATCTCCTCAAACATAGTTTAAATTCAAAGAGTCCTTAATTTTGGAAATTAACGTAAGACAAATATACTATATTTTATTTTGTTGAAAAAAAAAAACATTTTGTGGGGGTGGTGGGAGGGGACGGTGAGCAGTGAGATAGGATATCATTGGTTAACATTCTTTTGCCCCACCCACTGGTGCCTGGTGACATCATCAGAAGATGTTTTAGAGGCAAAAATCAAGACAATTTGACAGGCAAACTAGCATTTTAATTTTAGGTTGACTTACAGTTGTTTTTTTCACCTGCTACTTTTGTACTTCTACTCAAGTTGTTACTTCTACTTGAGTCATTATTTCACAGAAGCAACAGTACTTTTACTTTTTACTTGAGGGTGGGTTTAGGCTCTGCAAAACCCAAACCAGATGGTTTCTTTGAACCATTCTTGTAGGCCTGTAGGAAGCCGGTAAAGCACGCCACTGTTGTTGCTGACACTGAGCTAGATTGGTTACAATTGTATAACTTTATTTCTGATATTGTTGTTAAAATTATATACTAAACTAATTTACAAAGGACGATGAAAGAAAGAAATGAAGGAAAAATAAGTAAATTGGACTGTGGGTGGAAACTGAGCGATGAAAAGTGCCATTTTGTCTAATACTCTGCTTAACCACTGGTCGGCCACCTGGAAAACACTGAGCAAAAAGCCAGTGGGATGCCAGCTTTGCTGTCAATGGGCCAGTAGTGGTCTGTCATCCTCTTACTATCTGGAAAGTCAGAGATGATGCACAGATCAGAAGAAAGGTTCAAAATGCAAATGTAGTTCTACTCAGTTATATTTAGGAAAAGCAAAAGAACTTATGGCTAATAAAAAAGACGTTTAAGTAAGTCAAATTTTAGTCATTTTTTGTGGTCCTTTTTTCAGCAAAAAAGAGCATGCATGCATTGTACATCCATAGAAAATTTATAATCTGACAAGCAGTTAAACTGAATTTGCACAGTCTGACATGCATCTCGTGCCATGTGACATGCTGTAAATGTGTAAGATCGCTGAATTTAGTTACTCTCTCTCACTCTCAATAGCTTTGTAAAATATTGCCAAATATAACAAGAACACCTGTTTTAATCTGCAGGACAATGAGCCAAAGCACAAGGGGAAAGCTGTCTTGGTGTTTATAAGAAAGAAAATTAACGTTCTTGAGCAGTCCAGTCAAACACCTGATCTAAATCTTTCTGGGAATCTGTGGTAAGCACTTAAAAACTGCGGCCTTTAGGAACTTGCCAAGAAATTTTATCCGATTTGTCACAATGAATAGAGAAAATGTGCACTAAATGTATTTATTAAATGTATTTATTAAAATGTATTTACTCATTTTGTTAATGAGTTTCCTTATTTTATTCTTATAATTCCTCAGTCTGAGCATCAGGTTTTGAATAAGATCAAATGTACTTAAAAAATCTGTAAACTTTATTTCACAAGCTTGAACATCCTAGGTGAGGAATACTTTTACAAAGTTCTGTATAAAAGGATGCAAGACAATATACTCCTTTATAAGTCAATACAATATTTAATCCTTATGTTACAATTACATTACTATTATTTTTAGGTATTATGTTTGAACTATTAACAGTATTCATCATATATTTAAGATGTACAGGGGCATGAGACAGGCCAGTGTTTTTGGCTAATAATTAGCCAACGTGTAGTGTTTGACGGCACACTCTGTACACACAACACAGAGGACGCTCAGTTTAGCTGCACCACTTTTTCCATTTCAGAGAGGTAATGTCAGCAAACTGTTACTGCCTAATTGCACATTAATGGAGCAGGTCCAGAATATTCTTTTACACAGATTCAAGATTAAGCTGTCCATGCTCACATTCTCATCTGGTCTATTAACAGAACCTGCTAAAATGATCCCAGATCAGCATAAAAACTGATAGAGGGCATTTTGGAAAATAATAAAATGGTTCACAGTTACTTAAATAAATGTAAAGAGGATAAAATCTCTTTACATTACTATACATTAAAGCTAAGAAAGCATTTTCCTAAAGTTGGTTTTGTTGTATCAGCAAAATACTTTGAGTTCATGTACCACTGTTGCTGTTGAAGTAATTCAATGCGTCTTGTCAATAAATGATGCCACAAACAGCATATTTTATGATAATGATTTGGTCTGGAAAGTAGAAATAATCTGGTTACTGAAGCAAATTATGAAAAAGAAAACTAAATGAAAATAAACCTAGTAATGCATTTCCTAGTAAGACATGGAAATCAGTGTGCCAGTTTGAATGCCTGTCATCTAAACTGCAGTAGATCAATGAAAAAGTTCTGTTCCCACATTAGCATTTTGATTGGCTTCCTGGAAAGGACCTTCCAAATGTGCTCTACAAGTAGTCCATCTCAGCCGTCTCTAGATATTTTGAAATGTGGTCCAATATGAGTTTCTCATTTGCTGGGTCTTTCAGGTAGAAGTGTGATCCGGAGAGCATCTGCACAGTGAAATCACCACTAGTCATAGCCTTCCATGCTGTTAAAAAAAGACATAAGAACATGTTGTAGTCATAGCGATGCTAATATCTGTTCAAATTACAGATGAACTGGATTTCACGTGAAATTTTTCATTAAGCTTTAAATTCTGAGCTGTTATACTCTATAATAACATGTGTGCTATACAAAGAAAAGTTGATGCGCCATAAGGCATGATCCTTAATGACGTGATTTCGAATCCTAAATATTACAATATTAATATTTACAGACTCAACATCCTGTAGTGTGGAAGGAACACTGATTCTCTCATCTGTGAAAGACGCTGTGCTGAGATCATGCATGAAAAACTGATAACCAATAAAGGCAAGCTTAACATAAGGATACAATTTGATATTTAAAATTTGAAATACAATGAAATTGGCATGATTCATTGCTATGATCATGCCAATTTCTACTAGGGCCCCAATTTCAGTTGCTTATTTGAAGCTGCACTATTTAAGTTTGTTTGTTAAAATTAGAAGTAGCAGTACTACTGAGTAAGAAGGGAAAAAAAAACATGCTAATATGTGTGTGTGTGCACTACTGTGAGTAACCCTTTAAAGCCTGAAACAGTAATTTAAGGTCAGAGGTGTTCGATTGGATTTCACTTAAGTTTTTCTGACCACTTTTATGTCTTTACATATTAACATCACCGACACAGGCTCAAAAAGAAGGAGAAATGGAAATCAACATTATTCTGAAGAAGATACAATGACAATAACACTCTTTAAATATTCAACATGCTCGCAATCATCAGATTCTTTTGCTCAGGGAATGGGTCTAAAGCACACCTGAGATTACAAAATGTGTAATTACACATTTCCACCAGAGAGGTCTCCAAATCCCCAAATCTTACATAGTGTAACTTTAAAATGAGAATAAATCATCACTATCAGTATTGTAAAAACCTTGCAGCTGTCCACTTTTTCTATGCAAAATGTGCATATGACTGCAAAAAAAAGCAATCTGTGCCACAATATTCTGTGTGATCATAATCTGAAAGTGTGTTGTGTTTAGTTTTGGGTAAATCTTGGTGACCGAAGTGAGACTAAAAGCAAAAAATCTGTGAAATCTGTCATTATGTGTGGGGTCTGTCATTATGTGTGGGGTCTTAAGTATTAGTTGGGCCAAGTATTAGTTGGATCAGGTGTGTTTGGAGCCTGGAAAGCACTAGTAAAATATGCAGGGCCTCTAGGACCAGGGCTGGGAAACACTGATCTAAAGCAAAACAGAACTTAAAGCTGAATGAAATTCCCCCAGGTTTACCTTACTAATCATTTTGAGAGGCCTTTAGTACAGGACAAAATAGATTAGGACTAATTTGGCTACACAATAAAACTGCTTTGTGGTCCTAAGATACAAGCAATGCCTCAGATTGGTCCATATGGCTCTATGGAGTAATAATGTTGGAATAACACAAGGAAGGATAACCCCATCTCTGACCTTGTAAGTCATGTGGCAAATCTTCCTTGCCATCAAAGCACGAGACTGGGCAAGAGAGGAAAGGGCTGGTCGGCCTGTTACACCTGCAACACATAAAGACAAGAGGTAAAATAGTTATTGCTGTGGTTCCTAAAGTCAGTCCTGGGGGGCTCATGCTCTGTACATTTTGTTTTTGACCTACTTTAACACCTGATCCAGCACACAAGGAGCTTGTTAATTAAAAATTAATTAGTTAAAAAGCTGATATAGAGTATTGTGCAAAAGTCAGAGACCAAACTTTTGTTTATTTCATTTTCAGTCAAAATGGCCATTAAGCGCAAGTCCAGTGTCAGGAAAAAAGCAGGAAACATACATTTAACAGGAAAGTACTTTTGTACACTCAACTGCCATTTACTTTTTCCTTCCTTCAAATCTTAAAATCAACCAGTTACAGCTGTACTTTTCCAACAAAATCTATTCCCAGAGGAGTCACTTACATTATGTTGCTCTTCAAAGAGACCATGAGTGCCCAATCCTGGTCCTAGAGATCTATGACCCTGGAGAGTTCACATCCAACACACATGGCTCTAATATTAAGATGCCTCAATAGGTCTTCAGGTGTGCTAGGTTTGGGATGGAGCTAAACCACACAGGGTGGTAGATCTCAGGGACCAGAATTGAGATAGACATTAAATGGCTGAAAGAGATATTTCTCAGGAGATTAGACATAAAATAATCCACTTGCACAAGAAAGGGGGAAGTCAAAAGAAAATAAGTGAAAAACAGGAGTTTCCACTGTAGTTCAAAAAGGTCTTAAAAATGGAACCTTGCAAGACCTGTTAGACCACCAAAACTGTCAGCACGAGATAAACAGCATTTAAAGCTTTTATCTTTGAGAGATTCTTGCTTCGGAACACAAAATGGTCATTTTGACTGGTAATAAGTAAATGAAAGGAAGGTCTCTGACTTCTGCACAGTTCTTTCAATGTGCCAAAAGGGGGAAAGCAATGCCTCCATCTGAGGTAACTGGAAACTGAGCTGAATTTCTATCACTATTGAATATCAACAAAACCTTAAAAAAATAGAATATAACAGTGCTTTCTCTACATGTTTAAATACAATATGTTCACTGCCAGTTGAGGATCTCATTGATCCTTTTCGTGATGGCTAAACTAGGTATGATTTCCTAAATTTAACACTTTGGAAAAAAGGTAAAACATAAAATGTTATGGCACATTTTACATTTTATGTTTTATTTTTTCCCCAGTCTTTTTAGATCCAGTCTTTTAACATGAAGAACACATGAACATATATTTCAGATGATAAGTAGAACGTATTATTTTTTAATGTTTTAATTTATTTAAATGTATTTTTTAAAGTTTCTTGTTTGAGGTTTTCTGCTATGATCATTTATTCTTTCACAATATAAGCAGCCTGGCCTGCATTTTTACAAATGCATTCATAAAAGGTTCTTTTAAATAAAATGTATTGTCATTATATTGTTGCATTTCACTATCTTATGCCAAACAGTGTAAATATGCAGTAAATTACATAGTTAAATATATCCCACCCACCTGTAGTTCTCCACTACATTGAGGTCCGCCTTCAAGGCTGGCAAAAATAGCTTCAGCACCTCAGGATTGGCCAGTATTTCAGGAGGTGTTCCCCCGATGGAGGTCATCCACTGGAGGAATTCCTCATCAGACAGGTGGCTTCTCCGTGGGGCCTGTAATCTGGTTTCAGACTGAGAGAGAGGATCATACACTAGTTTAGCATATGCATCTGATACATTCCTTACATGCAGGAGCACCATCCTTATCTGCAGAGAGTGACTGAAAAATAACTTTTTAAAAAACAAACACTACTTGAAGTCACTATGATAATTATTTCATGCTTTGCAATCAACCAAATGTAATGATTTACCAGTAGATAACAGTCACGCTACTCTATTTAAAGGGATAGCTCAATCAAGCAATGCTAATGTAGCTAGCCTTAACCAAAATACTGCTGCCTGATTGAACTATGACTTTAAGGCATCTTTTATCTGGTGTTATATTGAGGTGGTACCCTTGTAAGCTATACTGTGCTGCTGCTATCTTTGAAATCACCATTGTTCTGCTCAAATGAGCACAAAGAGCAAACCACACTTACATAAGGTGCAGAAGCTCCAGAGAGGAACACGTGCACTGGTTCAAGATTGTGAACGTTCTTCACATGCTCAGCAAAGGCATAGCTGGTCATGGCACCAAAACTGGTGGCACAAATGAACAAAAGAAGTTACTTTATATAGCCCAAATCAACTGTATTGATAAATAGGGAAAACACAAACAATAATAAGAAGTAAACAAAGGAAAAAAAAAAAAACAAGTTAAAACACTGCCAGCAAATGACCTTTGAACTCACAATCCAGACTGTGAATGGATCTGAATTCCATATACATTGCTTTTTTACTTCTATTAGAAACTACAACCTTGTTTCCAAAAAGTTGGGACACTGTAAAATGTAAATAAAACACTGCTTTGATCCCACATCCCAGAGGTCCTATGGAAGCCAAAAAATAACCTGACAGTATGTACAGCACTGTGCAAAAGTCAGACACCACCATCATCACTGTCATTTCCAGTCAAAATGCCATTTAGTACAACTTATTTATTGTTCAGGATATATTTCTGATGTGATTATAAGGAAAATAAGTGAAAAAAATTGAGTTTCCAAAACTGGAGCAAAAATATTAAAAGATATAGAGAAAGTGGGACTCCTGACAACCACGCAGGACCTGTAAGACCATCAAATCTGTCACCATCAGCTAAACAGCACTTTTTTTCTTTGAGAAAGAGGAAAAAATTAAGCTCCACTCTTGTTTCAGATCTGAAAAAATCCACAGAGTTTCTGTCCATCCTTCCACTGTAAGAAGACTCAGCCCTAAGGATGAAAGGATGTGTAACCATCAAGAAACTGTTACTGAAAACAAGGAAACAGATGAAAAAAGCAGAAAATTTGCAAATCAAACGAAGAAGCTGCTGGTGTTCTCAGAACAATGAACTGGCCCTCAACATCACTGAATGTGTTTGGGATTATTTGGATCATGAGAAGCAGAAAATACAACCAACTTCTAAAACTGAACTTTGAAGATCTCTGTCGACCTCTCTGCAAATCCCCTGAGAAGAATAGAAGCTGTTTTGACTAAAAATTAAATAAAAAAAGGGTCTCTGACATTTGCACAGTACTGTACACATCATTACATAATATGAAAAAAGTGCCAAAAAGGGTTTGCTGAGTGATGCCAGCAAAATCACTTTTGGATTTTTGAGTGTGAAAAACCTTGTAAAAGTTTAAAGAACATAATGTAAAAGTTCTAAACCACTTTCATTATGTGGAGGTTCTTTAAACTTTAAAAAAATAAATAAATAACTGAAAGGTTTTTCGGGAACCAAACGTGGTTCTTCTATAGCACGTATGTCAGGCTCCAGTCCTTGTGGGCCAAAACACTGCAGACTTCAGCACACCTGATTCAGCTTTTCAGCTAATTAGCAAAGCCGTCAATTAAGAATGTTAGATGAGGGTAAACGCTAAACTCTGTAGCATCTTGGCCCGGAAGTTCTCCAGTTTGACATGCCTGTTCTACAGCATCAAAAAAGAAGTCTTGTGAAATTTTAAGAATCTACATTTATGTCAGTGCAAGAAAACATGACAAAGTATAGAAGACAGTAATATCAAACTGAAACATTCACATTAAACGGTGTGGGGGATTTAAGTTACTGTTTAAAAAGAAATCTCATGAAGCTTCTTAGTAACACCAACCTGTGTCCAAAGAGGGCAAACGGTTTCTCCCTTAGTTCTGGCAACAGCACACTAATGACCTCATCAAGGATCTGCTGCATGTGCTGGAAGAATGGTTCTTTAGCTCGGCCCTCTCTGCCCGGCAGTCTGACTGAATAAACTGCATTCAGATGTTGAAAAACAAAAAACTGAGCATGAAGACAAGTAGAACATTTCCAATTCTGCAATACAAACTTGACCAGTTTACACAGCCGGCTGTGAACACAAGTCAAGCTGTTAGTACGAGTACAAAACTATGTTTTTTCCTCCAATAACTCTCAGAAATCTCAGAAAGCAATTAAATAAAGTCTGGAAAAAAAAAACAACAATATGAAACACCATCAAACCTTTAAAGCATTAAAGAAATGAAACAAATAATTCTACTAAATAATACCAGTTGGATGGTGTGACAAATACAGCACAATACTATAGTCTTACAATAGTATACTATCCTATATGTAACATGTATGTATGTATGTATGTATGTAGATGATCTTGGCAAATACCTTCGACAGAGCTGTTAAGGAGCCTCCCCCAGCGAGCGTAGTGAATGGAGCCTCCACCTGCCCAAGGGAAGCAGATCAGCCTGGCTACAGCGTCCGGCTGCTTGCTAAAGCAGTTAATGACCTTGTCCATTCCAACTAGAGAAATAAAACATTAAGCCAAGGCAGAACAGACATAAATTATGTATTTGATCCTGTCAGTATTTTTAAATCTGCATATTTTGTCAATTCATGTCCACTTGCATTTAAAAGAAGGCAACATCATTGAAGGCTTAGTTCAGCCCACAGCCCAGGCCATGTACTACATCACTGAAAAGTTTGTTTTCTGTAGAATCTTAACAGAATATCTACATAAGTCTGTTTCCTCTGTACTAATGACAGCATTCCCGAAGTATGTTTTCTGAGATTTCACTGGGTAACGTATGCAATTCTGAGCCTGATTCTGAATATCTACAGCAAGCCGTTTTATAACAGAATATATATACAACACATTCTCCATCAATCTGAAGAACTCTTTAGTCATGCAAAGGTTCTTTAAGTGTTAATGGTTCTATATAGAACCATTTTCTTCACTAAAGACCCATTGAAGAACCATATTTTTTCAAGTGTACAACAAACCATTTCACACCAAACCTTTCTCAATGACTTTATTATCCAGAAATGTTGAAAAACTGATGGATTTCCCCTTTAAGCAGTTGATGCAATTCTAAAGAGACAAGCTTCAGTTTTGTAAAGCCTCAGACTTTATAAGTCTCAAAGCTCTTTAAGAGCTTCAAAGTTTGACCAAATTATCCCTCCATCACTGCTGATTACAGCAGTTCTTTGACTACTAAGTATCACCAAAAGCAGAAAACACAGAATAAACCCAAAACTGTTCACCTGCCAGTCAAACACAGCACATTTCAGCCTTAGACTCTCAGCAGTATCTGCAGTGGACCTGGATCACTGCTGACACCGCAGAAAAACTACAGTAGGAACTAAACAACTTCCTCGAGTTCACAACCTGCCCGAGGTGCCTTCAAGACCCTCAAACCTTATGAAAAATCATGTTTCATTAGATCACGTTTGGCCCACTTTCTGAACACGCTGGAGAGTCCAGACCTACAAAATACAAACACCTTGAGTTCACTTTCTTACTTCGAAGATGAAGCGTGTCTGTTTCAGCGCTCCGTAAACAAAACACAACATTAAAATTAAATTTAATTAAAATTAACGTGGCTGAACGTTCACAAACACAGAGCTGCTGAATGAAGCTCTGGATTGGCTTCTTCTTCGGCGAGCTCAGCCTGATTCAGAGCGCAATGCTGCCACCTACAGACCACAGTGCTGAACTGTAAACCACTTTCTCAGCTCTCACCGCTACACAGCTAATAAAACACACTGTTTTATTGTGTTATATTATGAGGACAGATGACGTGTATCTGACACAGAAGAGTTATTCATTTTGTTATGAAGATGAAGTCATATACGTCAGTTTATCTCATTTTGAATATATAATTGAAAATTAAAAACAATGTATATTTCATAATATGTAATAACCTGACTGCCTTCATTTTTCTGTTAATTGAACTTCTTATAGTAAGTTAACAGAACAACAGTCTGTATCCAATTAGCTTAAAATATTAAAGCAACCACGATTACTTAATTTTTTTATGTTAAAACATGAAATCATTTTACAGTGTGCATCTCTTAGTTCCACTGAAATCTAAAAAGCCCCCATAGTTTTTACAGCAGATTGAGCAGATGTTGACAAGGTTAAGTATGCACTGCAAGGGTCCTATAAAAGTTTAATTTAACTTAGTTCTCTTTTGTTGAATAAAGAGCACTGATATTGGTGTTTATGTTTAGCCTCTCAAATAGCTGTAATACTGCAGTATACTAAAAGAACTACAAGGAAAAAACCACATACTATCACACTGATGTTTATAGAGTGTCTATATGAGAGCTTTAAAGCACATTGCGTTTGCATTACGTCCAGTCTTCAGTATATAATAGTTGATTGGTATTACTATTTATTTATTAAAATACTTAATAATTATCTATTATTGTTCACTGAAAACTACTAAGGACCCTTCTCTTTGGGTGCATCATGTTGTATATCTTTAACCCCTTAACAATTCAGGCTTATTACCTACGAAGGCTTATTACTTAGTAGCCACAGGGACTTCAATGCAAAATAATGGAGATATTCTTAGGTTATAGAAGTGTGTAATAAAACTTTGGGCCCATATTTTGTTAAGGGGTTAAATAAAATCATGTCTTTGTTTTTTATTTTTAAATTAAACGATATCTGTATTTTATATCTTTAAATGAAATTATGTCTTTATTTTGTATCTTTAAATGCAATTTTGTCTTTATTGTCACATTTTTAGTAACGTGGATTAGAGAGAGTGACACGGTTCCAGGATGTGACGTTGTTTCCTGCCGTTGGTATTTCCGGTGGATACCCCTCCCTCGCCAGCCTGACTGTACCGAGATAGTGAACCGGTTACAGGACCGAAAGTCGGAGACACTCTAACCGGCACAGAAGGGCGACAAAAAGCGACAGAAAAGCCCCGCTTTCGGTCCAGAGGGCTGCGTTTTTATACGCGGACATCGTTCATCCTGTTAGCCGCTTAGCCTGTCGCTTTGCGGGAGTTTAAAGGGTTTGAAGCGCCCTCGAGTCGCAGCCAGAGACCAGCTCCTCGGTTACAAGCAGCAAAAAAGAAAAACGCTTTATTACTCCTGGGAGTTTTTCACGAGGGTGTGTTGACTCGTCACCTGGGAGTAATTACGGAGCTCCGGCGAGCGAGAGAAGGTGGTGGAGTGGAGTGGAGCGGAGCGGAGCGGAGCATAGACACAGCTGTTAGTCAGCCTGTCTGTGTCGTTACCCGTCGAGTAGACGAGCTGCTGTGCTAACCGAATGAGGCTCGGGCCGAGCTGACCCGCAGCTCCGTCAGCCGCAGCAGTGAGAGAGAGAGAGAGACGGGCCAGAGCGGTCCGGGAAAGGACGGTTAGCCGTTAGCCGACCCGTCGGCAGCGTCTCCGGAGAGGAGAACCACCCGCCACCACCATCCCCCGAGAGCCGGTGCTCCAGCTGTAGGAAGCCGGCTGACTGGACTCCGGGCAGAGACCTCATGAATGGAAATCAGTACTACAGGTGAGCGTGGAGAGGTGCTCGAGTGGCTACCCTGTCTGTCAGCCTGTATGAGTGTCAGCTGGAGGGGACGGTGTTAACCAGTGCTGCTTTTACATACTTAGTTCAACAGTCAGCGCTCTGTAGACGTTTAAAATCGTTGAATAGCGGGTGTAGCTGCAGAGTAAACGAGATAAGACCACACGTTCTTGTAGTTTTCACTGTTTGGGTGCTTAAGCTGTTGGGCTAGTTGGTATTTTTTGGAGCTGCTCGTTTGTGTATTTGTGTGGCGGTTGGTGATGTCGGTTATATCGGTTATGAAGGTTGGAGGCGGTTTGGCAGCGCCGCGCGTGGAGGGTCCTGACGCGCTCGCGCTTTCCGCGTCATGGCGTTGCGGCTCGCCTGTCACGCACAGGTGGTGTGGCGATCAGGTGCTGCTGCTGAGCTACTTGTGTGTGTGTGTGTGTGTGTGTGTGTGTGTGTGTTTCGTGCTTTATGGGGACCCGTTGAAAGTATGGACAATTTAACGTTATGAGGACTTTGGCTGGCCTCCTTAGTTCTGTTCAGATCAAGTTTGTCACTATACATGTGGGCAAGTGTACAGTACAGGGTTGTCACAATTCGATTAAAAATGATTACTGAATTATAAAAAATGAAGTTTACATTCTCAACAAATCGGTTTATTGGTTTTGTGGTCCAAAACCACAAGTTGTACTATTCTTTGTATGCAATATGTACTATACTAAAGAATGTGCTACAAATGATGGCAAACTACTTTGACATATCATTTAGTGTGATCATGTTAGATTTTGGACACGGCAAGATTATTCACAGGTCATAGTGAGACTGTGTTTGTCAGGCTAAAGATTCTCAACAAGGGCGTGCGATTAACATTCAGACTGCATTAATGAGCATCACTGAAAGAGAGGAAACCCACAACAGCAGGATCTCTTATAGTGGTGGTACTCGAGCTGCTTAGAATGCGAAGATTTCTGCAGCAAACACTGCTGTGTGATAATATACTCAGATGTTCATGAAATGTTGGCTCAAAGCAGTGTTAAACACTCTCAAAATGGCAGTTCATTGGAATTTTAGTGAGAAACAGGCCTGAAGGATACACATTTTCTTTTTTTGCCACAAGAAATAGCATTTTATGTATATATGAAGTATTTCCAAAGGACATTTATCTTCTTCTGTAAAGTGTTGTGAAACCTTTGAAAGTGTATTGTTCAGATAAGACCACTTTATTGTTTAACTTTTACAGAAATCATCAAAATAGCTGATAGATTACTCTGATAGTTCTTCCTATAATGACTGCCTAGTGTAACAAAATGTGTTCAGGCATTTCTCATGTATGTAGTATCACAGTTGAATAAAAAAAGTTGGAGGTTATCTTTATAGTACAGAAGTGTATTCTTGCAGTGCAAAGTGCACAAAGTTATTCTCACAGTAGACAGTAGTAGCAGTGTAATACCTTTCAAATTTTAAATAAAATGTAGCTTTTATTTGAAAAGTAAACGAGCCCAAAGGTACTACTGCTGACTTCACTGCAGCTAGTAAAGTCAGTAGAAATAGCCTACCCCGCAGAGATAGGAATACAAACGCATGCGTGGCCACACAGGGGAGAGTGGGGGAGGCTTCTGAGTGCTCGTTGTCATGGCGACTGATTTGCCAGTTGCTGTGTCACTAAAGTACCAGCTATACAAATGGAATTTCTGCACTGATGACATTTCGCAGAAATGTTTTAAGTGGAAAAGATACAGAACAAAAGCTCTTTACTGATGAAACAGCAAAGTATTAATAATAGTTGGTCACAGATGATCAGATTAGTACTAGCCTGATTGTGAGCTTTAGCCTGCACGTGGTTTACAATACAGGGCTGTGCATTCCAAGGGTGCTAACAGTAGCTCCTGCAGTTGAACTATGATAAGGAAATGGAAAGAAAGATGTGGTTTTAAATAATGATGCTCATTAGTGGGCGTCTTTTATTTCACGGAATTAAAGACTTTTATCTTAGCATCTATTTCATCCTGCACCAAAACTTTCCTCAATCTGTCCTGAACATTTTTTTTGTTTTGCTCTATTGCTGATATTGAACCACTGGCACAATGTAAAATTATATTTTTTTAAATTTGTTCTTAGCACTAAGACACTGTAGATTGTAAAACTCTTCAGCCTGCTGTATTGCATTCAGGGACCTGGAGCTATTGTAAGCGTAGCCTTTCAGGAATTCCAGGCTAAGTTTAGAAAAAAAAGGATTTGTGTGTGTGTAGGCGTATGTAGTAGGAATGCATGATGGTATCGGAATCATTTAGGACTTCAATCTATTTTTTTATTGGAATCGCAATTTGAAATTGCACAATTTTCTAAACGCCAAAGCTGCAATTTTTATTCTAGTCTATATTGTTAACATTAGGGAAATGTTACATAACAACAGTGAGTTCGTGATTTGCCTGCCAAATGAGTTAGACCAGTCAGAAGCAATCCAGTACCTGAGTGCTGTGTACATGACAACATTACTACAACTAACTAGCACATTATGTTCAGTGTTAAAGCATAAAGCCCGAAAAAATCAGTGTGCTGGTCTTCTTGGCAAAAAAGCCAAATTTTATTTTTAAAAAATCACAATTTAAATTAGATATTATATCCGAATTGTTCAGCCCCAGAAATATTTAAGTATTGGCAAATAATTGCTTTACAAGAAATAAATTGGCATCAGATATTAAATGTTTAAATGTTAAGATTTGTCAGATATTTCAAACTGATATTTGATTTATTTATTGTACTTTGGACTAGCAGAATGTTTAGGTGACGCTGGGATACAACACTAAAAAGTTTGCATTTCATTAATTTGTGTATTTGTAGCCCTATAAGTAAAAATGATATTTCTCCATAATGTTAATATATATTTTAATATGTTTATTTATCTGTATCAGCATCAGCAAATACTGAACAATTCTGAAAGTACGTGAAAAATACTGAACGTTAGTATCAGTATGACAAACTGTTAAACTATGTGATTGGAGGTGTGCTGGGAGAGTGTGTGTGAATCAGTGACTTGTTCTTACAGGTAGACCAGTGACTATATATGGAAGCACCTGTTTTCCTCTTATTGCTTGTTAGTATAGTCTTGGTTGCCATGGAGAGAAGGCAGCCACATGGGTGCAGTCGGCATGGCAACGGCACACTGGGAACTCCAAGAATCATTTGGAACAGCAGAGTCCCCTTTGGGTGCCTTCCAGTATCAACCCTCACTCTGAAATCTCCTGTAAATCACTCTCACTACAATGTGTGATCGCACTCACCCCGTTACCCTTCTAGTCACTGCTCTCCACAACTGTGCTGGAAATGTCCTATAACTTGCATTTCTAACTAGCCTTTTGTACCAGAACTGCCTGAGCTACGCTCCTCAAACAGTGCTGCGTACTAGTTTTTAGTGTATTGATTAAGATGGAAATGGTAAGGTTGTATTTTCTGCACCACTCAATATATATTTTATTAGTGCTATGAATTATTTCGACAATTAATTGAGTAATCAGAGTTTAAGAAAGGCCAAACAATAAGTAAACAACCACACATAGCCTTTCAATGTAGAAAACTTAACTAGGAAAACACTACGGGCCAGATTCATAAAACTTGATGGTAACAGCGCTGCACCATTCAAAATAGGCAGCCTGTTAAATAAGAGCTATTGAAAAAGTCACCGTGGCGGTGATTAGCATACTGGTGACTTTTAATGCTGAGGTATTTTGATGTATTTTCAAAATCCACATTTAAAAGAAGTCATACATATTAAAGACCAGCGCTGGTGAAGCTCCAATTGGTTGCCGAAAAGAGTGAAAACAAAGAAAAACAAAATTCTCAGGAACAGAGATACAAATTGTAAGAGAAGAAGTGCTGGATAATAAAAGTAAATTGTTTGGTAAAGTTGCCTTTAACTTTTAATCAAGAAACAAAAATTTCTTCATCACAAAATGTTTTTACTATAGAAAATCAAATTTTTAAAATTATAATTGTTGGAATTATATTTTGAAATGTAAGATTTAATTTTTCAGTTAAATAATAAAAATAACTAATAATAAGTCAAGTCTTAATACAACTCATTATAATTGCAGTCACAATTTTACTAACCAAGTTTATTTGGTATTTTTATTACAATTAAAAATGAAATTGACATGCTGAAATTTTAATTGCTGTGGTAGACTGTATTTAGCTTTTATTTCCTGTTTTTCTTGATCTCAGGAATTTACATGTGAAAATTTAATTTTGACTAATAAATATTAGTCAGAATTGGATTTGCACATATAAAAAATGAATACAAAATACTGACTAGTAGAAATTCATTTTTCACTTGTATGACAATAATTTTCATGAAACACGACGTAGAAAGAGCAGCATGTTTTAAAGGGCAGTTCCAGTTAAATCTGCCAATCTGAAATCTGTCTCAAACAAATCTTACTTTCTCCTCCTGTTATTCTGCAACAGCGGTTAGAAGGTTTACTGTGCTGCTGAACATATCGCTGTCATGGACATTTTCAGTCGTACAAATAAAAACATGTTTGAAAATAGGTTCTATAGATAAGGAGGCTAAAGTTGGACTCATTTCACTTCTCTGACTTTTAGATCAGCTGTGCTGTCCGTCGCTTCCGATTGTGAAAATTTGTCCGAAGGTGCGAATCAGGGTTAAAATTTGTCTAAATATTATCTAGCGTACAACCAAATTTACTATTAGAGACAATTTAAAATGTACAGTATCTATACTTCTATCGCTGTATGTTTCATTAAAAAGAGATTCACCCTGTTGTCCTCTTTGTACTAAAATCTTTAAAAGTACTTTTTTAGATGTGGCGCTACAGGCTCTTTTTATTTTTTTTTTCATATCAGAAAAATCAAAAATCGTGACATTGTGTATTGCTAACATTTTTGAAGTATCTTGATCTGTTATTTCCACCACATCGCCCACCTCTAGTTGTCATTATGAGGTTTGCACTCCCCATTTACGTCAGTTGAATGAAAAAGGGAAAACAGATGGTGGAGAGTACAGTACAGGTTTATGCACAACTAAAAAAGGTAAACAAAAAAATTGTAACACTCCAATTTTATGTCAATTTTAATTGAAACCGATTAATCAATTACAGAAATCATTGTTAGTTGCAGCTCTTTATGGCTTTGTTGTCTCAATGCTTTTTAAAAGTAGTTTTGAGGTTTGTATGGTTATTCTGTTTCAGTAACTTTGTAATGCATGTCCAGTGTGGTTTGTAGCGTTCAGTACAGCACATGCAGAAGCTATTTGCTAACTAGGGGGTGAGATGAGTCAGGGTAAAAAGACTTAACTGTCTGATGTCATTGTATGCTAGTTTGATCACAGATCTTTGGTTGCTCAGTCTTTGAGCAGACTTTGATGGAATATTTTTTTTTTTTTTACTTTTGTGTGCGTCTGGGGAAGTGTGACTGTGTGGTGTGGGTTGCGTGTGTCTGCATTGTCTTTGATGTCAGGTTTGCAGTAGCGTTTCCACTAAGTAGGCACTGGAGGAAATTGGTGAGGTTGAGTATCTCACTTCGCAACACGTGCTGTGTAACATCTTAATCTCCAGTTTTTTAGTGTCAAGATTCATTCGACGGTTGACTCTTGCCCCCGCCTGAGCAAATATGCCTTTTTTTTCCCCTCAATAAATTCTGTCTCTAATGTACAATCAGCTGGATTACTCAAAAGCTTTTCTAGTATGAAACAAGCATCTTTAGACAATGACTTCATCCACATTGCGAGTAAAGCTATGTATGAGAAAACTTGAGTGTTCCAGAAAAACCACATGCTGTTCTGACTCTGAACTAAAAGAAGTCAGCATCAGCAATTAGGTATATGGCCAGTCAGCATCTGGGCATTTCTAAATCATTCCAGTTGTGTTTAGACTAAAAGTAATAAATTGTGATGTTAACTTTAACATGTTAAAGTGATAAATTATCAATTTTTTTTTGTGTGTGCCATTAATCTTTTTTTTTTTTTTTCTAGTTCCCCCCTAATCATCAGTATTTTCTAGTACATTGTAACTTGCTAGGATTCAGGCCATGATTGTAGTCATACATACATACATCATCTAAATCACTTATCCCCCTGGGTCATGGTGGGGTGCTGGAGCCTATCCCAGCTGTCACTGGGCGGAAGGCAGGATACACCTTGGACAGGTCGCCAGTCCATCGCAGGGCAGACAGACAGACATACACATTCACACACACACTCACACCTAGGGGCAATTTAGCATGTCCAATTGGCCTGACTGCATGTTTTTGGACTGTGGGAGGAAACCCACGCAGACACGGGGAGAACATGCAAACTCCACACAGAAATGACCCTGGTCACCCGGCCGGGAATCGAACCCAGGCCATTCTCGCTGTGAGGTGACAGCGCTACCCACTGCGCCACCCTGATAGTAGCCATCTCATTTAAATTCAAATTACGTCAAGCTTTAAGTATCATTTACACGGAAAACACAACACAGATATTTACAGTAATATCAGTAACATTGATACTAGTGAATGCCTTCCACAGAGTATGCTGGACAGTGTGTGCAGAGTATTGTGGACAGAGTATTGAGAGCTTCCACTTAGAGATGGAAAAATTGATTGGCTGTGTATCAATATCGATACATAGATCAATACAATTTTCAGCTGAAATATGCAATCGGCCGATATTTCTATAACTTACATGATCCTGCGAGTTGATGCCTTTTTCCCGCCTTTTTCCGCCTCAAAAAATGATATACACTTCTAAAGTGCTCCCCTGATCATTCATTTTCACCGGTAATGCTGTCACCATGCCAACGCTTATCAGCCAAGCGTGCCAAAAGATGATTGGGGATCAGCCCCAAAAACACTGTTCGGTCCATCTTTACTTTTACTACGACTGTAACAAGAATCCACAATCTGTGTGAATGAGAGCAAAAGGGAGAGGCTACAATCACAGAGAAGTTGAAACCATTGACTGTATATATGATATTTGATATACGTACATATATACACGCTCATTGGTTGGAACATGCAGACAGTGGTGCTCTCACTGGATGTTGATCATAAAATTTAGAAACAGTGGAACTCGCATGATAAAAGTGCAGGTTCATATGCTTGTGCCCAGCATTTCACGCATGAATGTACCGTTATTGAATAATTTAAAGTAATAAATAGGCCTACATTCTGATAAAGCTTATTTTGTCCACTCATATAACTATGTATATAAGAAACACAAAATAATGTGATACATCGTGATTCATTGTTTTGGTCGTTTGACAGGTGTAGTAGTTAAGCGACACAACTTTTTTGACTTCTTTTCATGAACCAAACATAGAATTATACACTTATTCTTGATTGTGGAGATTTCATCATCAATATGCTGTAAGTGTAGCATTTTCATAGCTATACTTGAGGAATCGAACATTCTTCTTGATGTCAGTGAGCTGTCTTGTTTGGAACAAGTTGCTCACTTCACTCTGTACTTACCATGTAACTGTCCATTATGAAAAAAGAACATTTGTGCTCAAATGTATTAGAGCTTGCTGCTTAAATGTTACTATTGACATACACATTCATTCATGTTTGTAGTAATTCAAATGAATCCATGTAGGCCATATTGTATAAAATGTACATATCAAGTGTGCTATATCTTCCTTTGTCTGTTTTGGCTAATTCCACTTACAATAATAATAATAATGATGTGTGCAGGAGCCGTTGGGGCTGCGCCCCTGTTCTCCGTGCCACGGAGGCCTGGCTATGGCACCATGGGGAAGCCCATCAAGCTGCTGGCCAACTGCTTCCAGGTGGACATCCCCAAGATGGATGTCTACCTGTACGAGGTGAACATCAAGCCTGAAAGATGCCCTCGCCGTGTCAACAGGTGCGTAATACACATACAATTAATTATTTATGATGACCTTACTGATGGTACAGATTTTAGATCACCACTCTTCCTCTGGAAAGCTTTATGAATACAAGCGAAGGAGACATATTCTACTGGCTTTTGACAAAGAAATCATTGTACACATGCTCTCACTTCTCTAATTCTATGTATCTCTAACAGTGAGATTTGAGAAGTGCTTTTGTTGAAATTGTTTGACCTAAGTGACTCATTTACATAAGTAACTCTGAATCACTTAAGTCTAGAAAGTGACTCCCTTTCTTGTAAGGGTCATGTCCAAACACCAGACTCAGTTCTCGTCTGTCCAACTTATCCATTAGTAAATCTGTGTTGTTCCCTTCGGCAAACCCTAGGGAAGTGGTGGACTCCATGGTGCAGCATTTTAAGGTGACCATCTTCGGGGACAGAAGGCCAGTCTATGATGGCAAGAGGAGCCTGTACACAGCACATCCCCTGCCAGTGGCTACAGCAGGGGTAAGACATAGACACCCACACAGCAGGGCTATATACTGACTTTTTAGTTGGTTAGGGCTGTCATGATCATGAACATTTGGCTGACAGTTAATTATCATATAAATAATTGCATTTAATGATTTAATTATCTTTTCTTGTTAATTATATGCAACAATTACATTGGTGCTAGCACACAAAGTAGTAATCAAAAGCAAAGAGTGCAGTTGAAAACTTGCACATTATAAAAAATGAAGGGAAATGTTTTAGCCACTATGGGTTTTCACATTGGATGAAGAGGAGGCTTGAATAACAAACACTGACCTGTCAGACCATTTAGAATAGGCCTAAAGAATAAAAGTTTTCATATTGAAATCATAATTCAAAAGAATGCACATTTCAAATGCAAGAGCTGCAGTTTCAATTATAGCCTATATGAATGATCAAGTTTTAAGTGGGGAAAGGTCAACCTAGTAACAGAACTTCCTATAGATTTATTGGGCCAATCAGAAGCAACCAGGCACTCACATAATGTGCATTTTCTCATCTGTGAAGAAAGGGTTGTTTTCCAGGCATTGATTTTATATAGTAAAACAAGAAGACTCTTTAGCCGACTCCAGGGCGCGGTGGGGATCTGACTGGGCAAAACAGGTGCAGGGTCAGGGATGTCGTTGTGCTGCTCTGTATAGCTCAAAAATGGCTGCAGTGGGCCACAGTATTGTCAGGCCGTATATGTTCAAACCAGAGTCAGATAAAGAACACAGAGAAACTGGCGTGGAGGCCCAAACACAGATCAGGATGCAGCAGGATGTTTTCAAATGCTAAGGATTTATGTTCAAATTCACACACATTCACAGTCATACAACCAGAAAATTACCATTAACCCTCTTATATAGATCCGTCAGAGACATTGAAGCAACGTGTGCTTATCTTAGACATCTTCTACATATCAGTTTTGTATCGCTAGTCTAATTGAGGTCAGAAAATTCAGTGCTCGCAGTTGAAACATCACCTATGTTACTCAGTAATTGCATTGTTTTTCAAGAGCTTAACCAAGAACTGACAATCCTTAAATGCAAGAAGTATGCAAACATTCATCCTGGTGGGCACATCATGTTACCAGTTAAACTGCAATACAGAAACTAACCAGGCGTTTGCTTGCCTATACAAGCTAGGGCTTGAAATGACCCACTGACATTATGAAGGCTGGGTTGGTGGGTGTGGTTATTCTACTGGAGGGAGAAGCACTACTTTGTTCTGATGTAGACATGCAAAGAAAATCCCAACAGCTTAGTAAATCACATGCCTTTTTTTGAAAGGAAAATATGCCAAAATTATATGGACATAACATTTCTCAGATGGAATAAACAATAACAAGTAATGGGCAAGGAAAATTCAACTTTCTTTATTTAGTCTCCTTTAAGTCAATGCTTAAGGGAGACATTTAAAGCTGTAAATGGAAAAACGTGTAGTTGTCAAAAGCTGAAGTACTGAAACCTAAACTTGAAAACTAAGTTTACATTCATGGACTCTCCATTTAAGCGCTTCCCTGAAGAGATTTTATGCAGTTCACTTTAGGCATTGGTCCTAACACTGGTCCTAGAGTACCTCCTTCCCTGCACATTTTAGTTTTTTCCAACCTCCCAACACATCTGATCCAACTAAGGAGTTAATTAATAATCCCTTTCTGAGTTAAACGGGGTGTTTTAGAGCAGAAAAACACAAAAATGTGCAGGGCAGAGGGTACTCCAGGACCAGAGCTGTGAACCTGTGACTTGAGGTGAAGGGAAAAATTAAGGCCAGAATTCACTTAAGATATTTTAGCAAGTGACCACTGTGCCTTAAATTATAGAAAAGAATTGCTATTTAAAACACAGTTGCAATATTGGTCAGGAAAATTGAAAAATTCCCCAAATTGTTCAGCTCTACTTTAAAACACATATCCAGAGCAAAGTTAGATGGTGAGGGGTATTTGGGGCACGCAGCCACACTGCTTTAGACTAATTCACGTCTTTGGTAACATGCTCAAAAATCATTCAGTGCTACAGTAGTTGGAAGTCATTAACTTGTCAGGTCGACCCTTCCACAAAAACCCTGAGTCATGCTGCTGTCTTGTTTATGCAGGTAGATCTAGATGTGACTTTGCCTGGCGAGGGTGGTAAGGACCGGCCCTTTAAAGTCTCCATCAAGTTTGTGTCACTAGTCAGCTGGCATATGTTGCACGAAGTACTAACAGGACGGAGCATGCCTGAGCCTCTAGACCTGGACAAGCCAATCAGCACTAACCCTGTCCATGCTGTAGATGTGGTCCTACGCCACCTGCCATCCATGAGGTAAGCTCCATGACTGTTGAGGTCATTGTGAACATTGTGAAACTCTGACTCCTCAGACCGTTGGAATTATTGGTCCAGATTGGAAATGAAAAGATGTTGTCTCTTTTTTCAGGTACACCCCAGTGGGGCGGTCTTTCTTCTCCTCTCCTGAAGGTTATGATCACCCACTGGGTGGGGGCAGGGAGGTGTGGTTTGGGTTCCACCAGTCAGTGCGACCAGCTATGTGGAAAATGATGCTGAATATAGATGGTTAGTGCTGCATTACTGAATTGAAGGTTGATTGATCTGTTTATAAATGTGTTAAAATAGTAATTGTTGAAATGACTGCAAAGCTTTGTCCAGTAATGTGCACAGAATGTGTAGAGAAGAAAACTGGCATTGTGTTAAGATTCTGTTTCATTGTTAGATTTGAGAATGTTCCATGTTGAATTTGATCTCTTTCCCTGTTCCTGTTTCTTCTGGCTGTAGTGTCTGCTACGGCCTTCTACAAAGCCCAGCCGGTGATCCAGTTCATGTGTGAGGTTCTCGACATCCACAACATCGATGAGCAGCCCCGTCCCCTTACAGACTCCCACAGAGTAAAATTCACCAAAGAAATCAAAGGTACAGCTCTCCTGCAAGTACAAAAGAAAATCTAGAATAGCAGTCCTTTTATCGAACTATTGGATGTTGCACTGTTTCATGTGTGGGATCATCAGACTAAGGCTTCTAGGGTAGGCCTATTGATGACGCTCAGTTTTGAATCCAAAATATGCTATCTGCTGTCCGTGATCAAAACTTAAAATGTGCTGTTTAGCTTGATCAAATGCCCTGCTTTTACACTTCCTTCATACACAAATGTGCAAAAGCTAGTCAACAACTGGATAATAGAAATCTAAAAATAAAAAGCCTATAAAAAGCAATGTCTGCCAGTGATTCCACTCAGTCAGTTATTCTTTTCCGTTCCTCTATGGTTCCTTATATTTATGCAGCTGACTGATTCTGCAAATGAAGGATCAGGTTGAGAAACTGGTGCATCATGTCAGAAAAACATGGAACAGAAAAGATGATGTCAGTGGTGGAGGTTTAGGTTGCACAGATTAGTAAGTTGTAATTTGGAATATCTGATCCTTTCCTCAGGTCTGAAGGTGGAGGTGACCCACTGTGGCACCATGAGGCGGAAGTATAGAGTGTGTAACGTCACTCGCCGGCCTGCCAGCCATCAAACGTGAGTCAATAAGTGGCATCGAGTCTTCTTTACTTGCAGCTAAAGCTAAAATTACCATTTTGGACATTTTGAGGTTTTAAGCTAAAGTGACACCAGGAGCATGGATCTTTTTATAGCTTCAGAGAATTTCCATGTGCCTCACTTGTTGATTTCTTCCATCTATAGCGCTATCTTGTAGTTAAAGGTAGGTGAGATGTCTCAGACTCAAAGCTTTTGGAACTGCTTTTCTTTTTTTTACTGTATTGATTTATTAGTTATAGCTTCTGTTATTTCTTGAGCTTCATTGATTTAATATGACTATCAATCAGACAGAAGGGTTCCAAAATGAAGCTGAATCTGAAGATATTTGCTGAGATTGTCACTATTTAGACGTTTCTGTCCCTTCATTGTAGAACATCTTGTCACATCTACAGTGTTTTCACTCAGGTTTCCTCTGCAACTGGAGAATGGACAGACCGTTGAGAGAACAGTGGCACAGTACTTCCGAGAGAAATACAACCTGCAGCTCAAATATCCCCATCTGCCCTGCCTCCAGGTGGGCCAGGAGCAAAAGCACACCTATCTGCCCCTGGAGGTGAGTCACTTGCACTTTACTGTTAATGTTTAATAGTGAAGGTAGCTTACTTTGTGTTCTAGTGGAACACAACTCTTAAGTGGTTGTCTCAAAGTGATTGTTGTCATGAGATGTTCATAGATGTTTATTTAGTTGGAACATTTATTATCAAGCTCACTGTGTTGATCCTAGTGAGAAGCATCACAAGGCACAGAAATCCCTGGAAAATCACCCCTGCAGAGCCATCTTTTAGTTTAATTCTGTTTCTGTGGAAGTACAGGCAAGTTAATACATGCAGCCTCTTTATGAACAGAAGTGTCGGTTACTTAGATAGTCTCCACAGTTCCAACTGCTATGAATTTTTTTTCAGTTACAGTTGTTCTAAAAAAGTTTTAGGCACCTGAGAAAATGACATTTGAAAAGCTTTATCTGCATATCTACTCTGCTTACAAGTTTTTATTAGCTCCAAGCTATTCAGTGCTGTTTTACGTTAAATCAAGTATACTGGCAATGAAATGCAACAAAAACAATGGCTAGGAACGTCCAGGAAAAATCTGGAAACAAACTCACAAAATATCAACTGGTGTTGTTTTTTTTGTTTGTTTGTTTGGTTGTTTTTGTTTGTTTGTTTTTTTAACAGGAATTTTTGTATATGTGTCATCTGTGTGGCAGTGTGAACAGCAAAAACACATCGAATCTGACATCTTCAATTCCGATTTGTGGTACTGAAATCCGATCCGTATCCGATATGTGGCAGTGCGACTCAGTCTGAACAGTCAGATCGGAATTCATGCGACATTTACGTCAATCCAACTCGACATTTGTCATCATTTCGCGCTGCTGAGACTCATAAACATTTAGACCGATATTTCTGTACCAAAAAATTAGAAGAGACATATCCAAACCCCTCCGTCTTCGAAGAGATTTTGAAAGAAATTGCTGAATGCGGCCGTAGGACAGCGTGGCTGCAGTATCAAAGAACAGTTAAAAGTCTGAAAGCAAAGTTTAAAGAATCGGAGGACATGAACCAAAGAAGCGGCCACACTGTTTTTACGGAGAGCTCAAGTGCAATCTGGTCGCTCATGAAATTCCAATCCACTTTTGGAACATCATGATCGCTCCTGTGATGCTGGTGAAGGTGAAACTGAAAGCTCTGGGAGCGACTGGCTTTCGTTCATAGTCATGATTGTTTACCTCTAGATGAGCCACGTGATGCAACATTAAGCATTGTTCTTTTGCGCATGCGGGTTGGTTTAGGAGCTGATCTGTTCAGACTAATGTCGCATGTAGGTCACATTTAAAAGATATTGTGAACAGCCAAACAACAAAATCTTATTTTGTGAGAAAATCAGATTTGGGCCACTTTTACCTTCTGTGTAAACATAGCCTAAGATGTTTGCTCAGTTCTCTACTTCTGTGTCAGGGTAAAAGGCTGGGTGATATAATATGAGATTGTTCTAATGATAAATCATGCCACGATAGGCTTTTCTGAGTATATAGTGGGTATGTGATCCTGGTTGAATCCCGATGATGCCTGCAGTTCAGGAGAGCCTAATCAATCCGGTTTGATTGGCAATTGTTAAATAAAAAATAATAATAGTATTATGCATTTTCCTTTCAAACTCTACAAAAATGTAATATTGTAATACATATTGTGTATTGTGGGAGTGTCTAACTATAATACATAATATACTGAGATAATTGATGCGCTAGCTTACTGTACAGCAATTACTAAGTAATTACTGCTACAAATATAACATAGTTACTATACAATGTTTATGCAGTACTACAGCTTAATTTGTTTAGATTTTTGTAACTCACCCCCACATTTGCAAAGTATGTTTCTGTTTCTTCCATGCTCATGTTTGCTCTTCTATTTGTATTCTGTCTCTCCCCATTTATCTGTGGTAACTATGTATAACTGTTTTTCAACTCGCTCGTCTTCTTACAGGTGTGTAATATTGTAGCTGGGCAACGGTGCATAAAGAAACTGACAGACAACCAGACCTCCACCATGATCAAAGCTACAGCTCGTTCAGCGCCAGACAGGCAAGAGGAGATCAGCAGACTGGTGAGCATCACATTACCCCTTAGTGGCCTGGAGAAGTAAAAGTGTCCTAAAGCAGTGGTCATTATCCCACCTCCTGGAGATCTACATTCCTGCAGAGCTTAGTTCCAACATGTTCCCCTCCCCCCTTCATTAACACTAATACATTTGATATAGCCATCAGGGACTATTGAAGAAGTTAATTAGGCAGAGCAGGTGTGGCAGTTGTGGTTGGAACTAGACACCATAGAACAGTAGATCTCCAGGACTGGGGTTGGTGATCACTAAGGCTGGATACTGTCAGCAATTTCACGAAATGATGCATATTACAAGAATCACGATACGACAGTGACAAACACACCAGACATTTTACCTTAAACTTTTTGTTGAAAACTAAAGTAAAAATGAGTAAGTAAGTAAGATTGAGAACATTTTTTAAACGTTTTTAAAAGAGTATGTATGTCTAATGAAAGTTAGTAATGGATGCTCACTTCTTTCATGCTCATATCAGCAGATGATAAACTTATTAAATAAACTTCAGAAAACTCTCCAGAACATGCAATGCGCAAAAGGGACCAGAGTGCAATGCCTTCTTCTTCTTCTTCTTCTTCTAGAGCAGAATGTTATAAAAATAACAATAATTAAAGTCTCAAACTTGAATGCACATGTAAAAGTAGCCTACATTCATAAATGTCGATACAGGAATCACTTTTATATGTGATATATTACTATAACAGTCGTGACCCCAACTCTGCCCCAGCTTGAAGCCTTGGCTTGAAGCCCCAGCTTGAAATTAACCTTGAAAGTTCAAGAACAATGTGAAGAAATATATTCTAAGCTAATATCTTTTACTTCTGCTTTGTCTCTCTCCCTTCCCCCCCTCCCTGCCGGTCTTAGGTGCGCAGTGCAAACTACGAGGCCGACCCGTTCGTGCAGGAATTCCAGTTCCGTGTGCGGGACGAGATGGCGGAGGTGACGGGCCGCGTCCTGCCCGCCCCCATGCTGCAGTACGGCGGCAGGGTGAGCTCTGAACACTTTCTGGTACCTTCTCTCCTTTCAATCACGACACTTACGTGTGTGTTTGTTTCTTGGTGTGTTGTGCTACTAGATGTAGTTCGGTAGGTTTTGGGGTGTGATGTTGGGTTTCAGTGAATGGGTTTTTTTTTTCCCATTGTTTGTGTGCATATCTGTCTGATTTGTGTGGTAGTGGACTGTGTTTTACTGCACTCCAGTCATTGCATGGATTTGTTCAATTTCATCAGCAGCGCTTGATTTAATTTAATGAAGGATTGATTAGCAGGTATTGGATGGTAACTGACTGTAAATACTGGACTAACTCAAGAAGAGCTTTGGAAATGGTTACACTAATATACCAACAGACATTCAATTACAGTGTATTGTTTATTTGTGTATTTATTTGTATTTATTTTAATGTTAGTGTTGTTTCGAACAAATAAATCTTAATGCTCAGAAGAATCCCTTTACAAATAATTTTCTCTAATGCTGTTGCACAGCACTGTATATGAAATAAGTTGTGTTCTTGAATACTGATTATCACTTTTACTAATTAGTGTACTTTTACCATTGAATGTTTATTTAACCTGAACAAAAGCAATATCCTATTGGTTGGCATTTATTATAAACGTGCATTCTATTCATTTCTCAGCTGTTGAGGTGCATACACCTGAAAAACTGCTTGGCAATGGCTGTCGTTGAACTTCCAGTTTAATTATAATTTGTGTATTGAGCAAATGTACCTTAGGTGCTATAACTCAACTTCCTCATTATGCATACCATCCCCATAACTCATACGGTATGTTGTGTAATATACCTGCATTACAAAATGGCTCATATGCAAATTTTCTGAAAGCTTAAACATCCGAATGAACCTGCAGGCAGAGGGTGTGTCCATGTCAGTGAGAGTACTCTCAGTAGATGACCCCAGGTTTGTGTATGTGTGTCTGTAGAATCGTACAGTAGCCACCCCAAGCCATGGAGTATGGGACATGAGAGGAAAGCAGTTCCATACTGGTGTAGAAATCAAAATGTGGGCCATCGCCTGCTTCGCCACCCAGAGACAGTGCCGAGAGGAGATCCTCAAGTATGTCATGTCTTTTCCTTTCTTCTTAAGGAGCTCGACCTATTATGTATTTTTAAGCAATAATGTTTTATGTCCAACATATGAAAACAGATTCTTATCCTTTAAGACTATTTGCAGTTGATCTTAATAGCAGGGCTGTTTAACCATACTTCTGATTATCCACCTTTCTACAAAGTTCAGCTCCAACTCTAAATTAACATACCTCCCTCTATAATTTACATGTTCCTGGCTTTACAGATTAGATCTGATTAGATAGATATGATTAGATAAATCAGATGTGTTAGAGTTGGGCTGGAGCTACACTCTGCAAGGTGAGTTGAACATGGGAGGGTTGGGCGCTCTTGCTGTGTAATATTCAGCTGTTTAGTTGTGCAGTTCTTGAGGGAATTATGTTCCCAAAATGTTGTACCCAGTTTGAATTTCCACAATTTGAACTTGTAAAAATCAGATTTAGATAATCATCAGATACAATGAGCATTAGGAAATGCTTGTAATTATTGGTAATTATCAAATGATACAATAAAAATTGTGTGAGGATTTTTATCCATATTAGCAAGCGCTCTTTGTAATTTGACTCCCTGTTGTTCTGTGCAGGAGCTTCACAGACCAGCTGCGAAAGATCTCGAAAGACGCAGGCATGCCCATCCAGGGCCAGCCATGCTTCTGCAAGTACGCTCAGGGAGCAGACAGCGTGGAGCCCATGTTTAGACACCTGAAGAACACCTACGCTGGACTGCAACTCATCATCGTCATCCTGCCTGGGAAAACTCCTGTCTACGGTAGAGATCTGCAACAAACACACCGTCAGCACATAAAGGCACACATTCCCCTTTTTAGTCTAAGGCCCTTTTTGTGAAATGTAAGTGCCACTGCGCTTTCCCTTGTTCTCCGCCTGGCAAGGACCATGTTTTACCAGACCTCTGTTCATTTTGCTAGCTATCGCTGACCTGCACACAGAGATGTAGCCCTGTTCTTTGACATTACAGAAAACTTGTTTACTGGGTGAATTTTAAAGAATTACCATGTTTTTTCCAGCACCCTCTTGCACTCGGTGCTGATAAAAGTGTCCATGCCAACCATGCCGACTGATATAAATGGAGGAGAAATTAAACAATGGGAAAACAGAAACGACGAGTGTAAATAGATACAATCTGGACACAAAACACGCTTTTGCAACCTGTAGACTGGCTCAGAGACCCTTCACACAATCGTGTAGAATCTATTGTAATGACTGTGTTTAAATAACGTGGATTATAAATGGATGTACAAAAAAGGGAAGGATTGTGTTAAAACACCATTAAACCATCATTCATATGCAGCTGTATTTAAATCTGTGTGTGCAGCGGAGGTGAAGCGTGTTGGAGACACTCTTCTAGGAATGGCCACTCAGTGTGTGCAGGTGAAGAATGTGGTGAAGACTTCTCCACAGACTCTCTCCAACCTCTGCCTCAAGATCAACGTTAAACTAGGCGGCATCAACAACATCCTTGTCCCACATCAACGGTACAGCCTGTTAGCACATATTGTTGGCCTGTAGATGTTTACAGTGCGAAAGGCCAAACAGCAGGACTCATTGTTCTTGCTGCCTTTTCTCTTTCTTTTTTCAGTCCTTCGGTGTTCCAGCAGCCAGTTATCTTCCTCGGTGCTGATGTCACTCACCCGCCAGCAGGAGACGGCAAGAAACCCTCAATTGCTGCAGTGAGAAATTATTTCTCTGTCTTTCTCTCTCTCTCGTCAGGTTTCCATCCAGCTGTCAAATTAAATTCAAGTTAATAACTGACAGTTGCAAAAAATATGCAAATTCGGCTGTGTTTCCGTCAGTTCTGCGTTTACATCAGTTCTATACATTACAAATACAAATCTGTTTTGTTTAATTTTATGGCTTTATTTTACATCATTAGCAAGACAAAATGCATTGACCTAATAAAATGACTAGCTTTTCTCTGTGACGTTCTCTCTCTCGCTCTCTCTCGGTCACTGGTTGTGTCTTTTATGTTTCTTTGACTTTGTTGCCTTCTCTCCCCTTCGTCATCATCTTTCTGGCATGGTTACTTACGCACGCCGTAATGCTGACAGTCCTTTTCTCAACGACTATTTAAAAGATAAATTTATGCAGATGAATGCAGATGTGATTAACAGGTTTATACATTTCTCTTTCTGTTCCCCTGTGTGTTCGTGTTCTCCACATAGGTGGTGGGGAGTATGGATGCCCACCCAAGCCGGTACTGTGCCACAGTGCGGGTCCAGAGGCCCAGGCAGGAGATCATCCAGGACTTGGCCTCTATGGTTAGAGAGCTGCTCATCCAGTTCTACAAATCCACCCGCTACAAACCCACCCGACTCATCTTCTACAGGGATGGCGTGTCTGAGGGACAATTCCGCCAGGTTAGAGCTGCTACCTTTAGTTACTATAAATTTGGAAAACAGTGCTGTATAGCTTCCTCATTCCAAACGTCCAGTATACTGGACATTTTCCCAGGTATTCTAACTCTATAGATACAGGTGTGTCACCACACTCACTTTTATGTGTTTCTACAGGACTCAGTCTTTGTATTCGTTGATCATTTAATAGATTTTTTTCTTTTCTCCTGCTTTACAAAACACAATCATTCAAGATTGTTTGTTTGTTAGTTTGTTTTTATGTTTATTTGTTTATAGATCTGTTTATTTGTTTTGTTTTACTTTTATGTTTTATCTTATGTACTTAGGAGTGATAGATTATGTTCTGTGAGTTTGGGGATAATATTGTTTTTTAGTGATTTGAATGAACTTCGCTGTCCAGTAGAGCAGAGACAAAAATTTTCTGGACTGAGGAGGTTAAATCACTGGTGACTTTATTTTATGTTTAATTTTTTTGTTGTATTACTTTGTATTTTTTATTTTTTTTTACTCATTTATTAAGTTTAGGGAATGACTATATAAAAAATATATAGTATAAAGTTAAAGGGTCTGACACTGAATGACATCTAAAACTGGTTACCTGATATAATGCTTACTGAAACAAAGGTACTAAGCTGTAGCTGGGGCGGTACCTCTCACACCATTGGTAGTTAGGGCACTTAATTGTATTACATTCCACTGCGCTTTTTTATGTTGACTCCATACACCCTTGACTCCAGGCTTTTTTATTATATTTTTCTGTATTACCACTTACACGTACATACATACATACATACATACATATTACAATATGAACTTCCCTCTAAAAAAGTCACTGTAGTGTACCTTTAAAACATTTACCGTACACAAATGGACCTCAGGACCATTCATTGTTTTTTAGGGTACATTTACATTGTTTATTCCTTGATAAATAAAAATGTAGCTCTACAGTAATCTTTATTTAACAGTGTAGCAACTTTCATTCTGTATAGCTATGTTTCTGCACAAATGTTTAAGAAAAACATATTTTAAATATAAAACACCTCTAGGTGCTGTACTATGAGCTGCTGGCTATTCGTGAGGCCTGTATCAGTCTTGAGAGAGAGTATCAACCTGGCATCACCTACATCGTTGTCCAGAAACGCCACCACACACGGCTTTTCTGTGCTGACCGTAATGAGAGGGTAAGAAAGAGTTTTGTCTTGGACCAACTCTAACATCTTGTTAACACTCTTACAATAGAGCTTATTATTTTCTCTTTCTTTATTTCTTTCTTTCTTTCTGCCTTGCTTTCTTAGGTTGGGCGAAGTGGTAACATTCCTGCTGGTACCACTGTGGACACAGATATCACCCATCCATACGAGTTTGACTTTTACCTCTGCAGTCATGCTGGAATACAGGTAAACACACAGAGTCCACATCAACTCTTAAACTTTTTATCTGCCTTAGTTTAGTAGATCCTTACCTCTCTGCCTGTTGAGATATCATATCCCAGTTGTGTGTAGCTGGTAGATGTTGCAGTTTAGATATACTTATTATATAACATGTAGGCTTAATGATTTAAGCCAAACAATAATTAAATTTTATATATCTCTTATCTTTTAACATTTAAATACCTTTGATTTGTAGAATGCTTACAAAGCTACACAAGAGTTCATAAAACACACAATAAAAACATAATGAAATTGTTACACAATGAAATTGTTACTTAAAATTATTACTTAATTTTAAGGCTAATATTACGATAACAAATAGCTAACTTTCCATAACCCTAGTTTTACCTCTCTCCTAATCGCCTGTCTCTGACCTGTCACAGGGCACAAGCCGGCCTTCGCACTACCATGTGCTATGGGACGACAACGGCTTCACAGCTGACGAGTTTCAGCTGCTAACCTACCAGCTGTGCCACACTTATGTGCGCTGCACCCGCTCCGTGTCCATCCCGGCACCAGCCTATTACGCCCACCTGGTTGCCTTCCGAGCCCGCTACCACCTGGTGGACAAGGAGCATGACAGGTGAGCGAGCTTGTGACTGGCATTGTTAGGCAGTAAGCCTAACATTGTATTATTCTTGAAATGGCCATCCTGGCATTATGATCTCCGTTTAAAATAAATAAATAAAAAACCCACATTCTCATTAGGTCTGAGCGATATTGGGCAATAAGGCACGCTGCAATATTGTATGTAAATTTTGTGATAATTGTTGTGATATAAAAAAAAAAAAAAACAGTCAAATTATAATGTAGATGTACTGAAGCTAATTGTCACTCTATGGTAATGGAAACCATGTGTTTAGAGGCAGTATTAAGGCAGCAGTTTATAATTCTAGTTAGCTTTGTGTGATATGGACAAAAATACTGTATTGCAATTATATTGCTACGTACTTAAAATGCAGTATACCTTCCAATATTTGACACATTAGTGAATCCTTGATGTGTTGTGGTTAGGAATTGGCCTGCATTATTTTTGACCAAAAATTTATAGTCATGTCAATATGTTGATTCATCCGAACACCCAAACAAGATGTTGTGCAACCCATGCTGTGCTCAGCCTGGGCAGTATTCACATGCTGAGATCACTGTGTAGATTTCTTATCCATCTCTTGGCTATGTGAAGTTACTGATGAAATATCCCAGGTAGCAAAGTAACATAAGATGGAATTAATGTAATATCATGGTATTTGTATTACTGCTACCAATTCTAGTGGAGGTCTGGTACTGTTTTACCAAAAAAAGTAGGGTTCTCTAAAGTAATAGTTGTAAAACAGTCCTGTGGCAGAACTTCCAGAAGGTCAGTAGACGTTTAGTCAAAGCTTTCCGTTTTGTTGAGGGTTCTTTTTCATTTTGAACATGACTTGAGGTGCTAATTCTATTTTTCCCTTTTCTTCCTTCCACATTTTTATCTCTCTCAGTGCGGAGGGAAGTCATGTATCTGGGCAGAGTAATGGTCGGGATCCCCAGGCTCTGGCCAAGGCTGTGCAGATTCACCACGACACCCTGAGGACCATGTACTTCGCCTAACTCCACCTCCTCCTCGCTAACACTCACCTGTCAGTCACTTGGCATCATGCACTGGAGCTGGAGAATGCTCCTCCCAGTCGCACCGGCAACCAACCACAGGCTGCCCTGCTGCTAAAACGAACCAAACGTAACTAAAACCAATGGGAGGGGTGGGATTAACACTGTTATGCAATGGAATAGAAAAAAAAAACAAAACAAACAGCCAGTCTTTTCTAAGAACTCACTCCTTCTTTTTCTGCTTCTCGCCATGTTGATCTGTGAGTCCTAAGAAAGAAGTTTGGCAGTTATACTGTTATTTATTAGCGTTGAGTTTGTCTGTGTGTGTCTGTCTGTGTGTAAGCTTCATGGAGTCCTTTAAGTGAATTGATTGCGCGAGAATGAAAGTTATCATGAAGGTCAAGCAGTTTCACTGCAGTGAGCTGAAGATTAGGTCACCACTAGAGGTCAGTATGGCACCGCGAAACCGATCGGTCACTGTACGAGGTGGTAGATGTAGTGTTTTGCTTGATTCTGATCATAATGCCAGTGGTTTAAATGCAGGGGAAGATGGTGGGTCATCACCAGTGGACATTATGTTCCACTGTAAACAAACAGTACATCTTTTGCTTGGTCCATGTTTATTAAATATAGTTTTTAAGAATCCATTTAAAGCTCTTAGTGTGAGACACTTGATGTGTCATGACACCCTTTTTCTTCTGTTTTTTATGCTTGTGTGTTTGTGCGTCTTAAACAAGGTTCAGAGGTGACTCTGCCCTTTTGGCCTACTTACATTATCTGTTGTAAAACAGACATTTAATGTCTGTGTTCATGCACTGCTTGGAAAACATTGTAGCTTTACATTCATTTATGATTACCTTATTATGTTTTTTTGTGTTGGGGAGGGGGTGTATTTTTTCCCCCCTCCTCTTCTGTGCAAGCAGTGAGTGACACATTAGCTAAGAACCGTGCTTTCACTGAAAGTACAACATCCATTAAATTCAACCCAAGGTTGGTGAAAGATTTCTGTTCGGAGGAGTGGGTGTGCAAGCATGTCTGCGTGCTCTTTAAAGGAATAGTTCAGTGGAAAATCAAATTCTCACAATTTTCCACTTAGCCCAGATGTAACCAGTAAACATGTTTAGAGTCCAAATTTTGCTTCTTTACTTCAAAAACTGGATGTGCAAAGCTAAAATTGCTAGCAAGCACTAGAACTCAGTGGTCACCCAAATCTCCGTAAATCCCCAAAACTTCTCTTAAGCCTCTCAAACCTCACCAAGATCTTTATTAAAGTTGTGCAGACTTACTTACTTACTGTGAACTATAAAAGTTAACAACATTTCTGATTGCTGCAGGCAGCCTTTTTAGACAACAGAGTAGAGTTGGGCAGCTTAACATTAGTAAGGTACGCTGCGGTAATGAAAAATAGTGCAGGTATTTCAGATTTATGACATGGTAAATTTCTGTTCCGCATTTGAATGGCTAAATAAACACGTTCAAAGAAGTAATATTTTTATGTGAACTCGGTGATAGAAAGAATGGAAAAAGGAAAATAGCCAAACATGATCGCAGCTTAGCGATGGCTAAGAGCTACACACATCACAGAACATGTTCGATTTCGGCCTTCACCCTAACAGAAGTCACGCGACTCTCAGATATCCTGGGTGTCATTTTAGCAGCAGTTAGCTGGAAACAAGCCTGTTGTACGTGGTACTTTTGGCTTGCTAATTAAGCTGTTGTTAGCTTAGCCAAAATGTTACAGAACACCTCAGAACAGGTTCGATTTTGGCTTTCTGTCACTCCAGTCGCTCTCTAAACTTGTGTCAGCAGAGCACCAGGTAGTCAGAATCAAACCTGTACTGTGGTGTGTGGTGCTCTTTGTATCTGTAGCCTACAGATTACACACTCAATTAGTTGATCCAGCTTCAGATCCCAACACCACAGAACAGCTTTAATTTTGCTGTACCGCCTCTTTAGTGCCAGCTGCTCGACTTCACACCCTCACATTTTTATAGTCATCATGTGAGCAGTTTTACTGCTTTAGTTAGCCAGAATCAAACATGCTAATCCTGTTTAACATTGATCAGTTGTTTAAGCAAGATGATTTGACATTTATTCATTGAAGAATTCATTGAATTGGGTTCAAAATCATGCTCTATTTTCACTTATTTGGAGACCATGTGAACAAACGGCTATTATTGATTATTTTCAGTTTTGAAATAACGCAAGTCAAGACGGGAAAAAAAAATACTGTAAATGCTTTTGTCACTTACGAACTATTCCTTTAAATGTAGCCGCTGGCATGTAGTTGTGGCCTCCAGAAGGTACTGAAATATGTTGACACAACTTCATGGGAGGTCATTGAATGTTTTGATATCTTGCATACTCACTTTACAAGAAAACGTTGATATTTTAACCATTTACATCTTAATCCTTTTCTATCCTTTTGTGAACATATTGCTTTTATCAAAAAACTATCAGTAGTTCATCTGTAAATCATCCGTAAATAACCTATCAGTAATGGATTCTTTTTCATTCTTTTACTGTTGACTTTGACTAACACTGAAAGACTTTCAGTGCAATAAGCCAACCGTTGACGGCTCTGGTATATTGTCATTGTCCGATAAATACCACAACTTGTGAATGAGATTTCATCATAAACACTGTTTGCTGGCTAATGTGGCATTTGACAAAGGATTTTGAATGTTAGAGTAGGTGGATTTGTTCAAAAAGTGGGAAAGAACAGTGGTAGGCATGCAGATTTCAGAGTGCTATATTACCGTGTCCATGTTGGAGATGGGATTTCTTTATTTGGATAGGTCTTTTGGGTTCAAGTGAGTTGTGTATTTTGAGACAAAGTGCCTGGAGACACCTTCTAAGCAGATCCAGGAGAGGTTTCAGTATCCGTGCCATTGAACCTTGTGCTGCAGTTTGTTGAAAAGCAGTGTTTTAGAAGTGGCACCGAATTGACTTCAAAACATGTGAACAATGGAACTAGTGTAGAGTTTGACCAAGTGAAGTTGATCCTTCGAGCGTCTTTGGTAAGACTGCTCTGCACCCGTGAGAATTTGCCTTCACATTTTAGAACTGACTTTAGAATCAAAGGGCATTTTCTTCCTCTCTTTCTTTCCATCTTTTCTCTGGCTCTCCTTCTTTCTCTTACCTTGACAGTGGGCAAAAGCATGTACTGCCATACTGAAAAGTAGTAAGTGCACTAATCTTTTCCAAATATACATTTGCTTAAAATGCCCCTTTGATCTACTTCTTGATCTACGAGTCCTTCTTGGGATAGTTGGGCCAAAAATGCTAACAGTGCTAATCAAAGCTAGCAGCCGCCAATTAGCATTATGCAAATTATATCATGCCATTGGGTGGACACTAGCTCTTGGGTCGTGTTTTTGGTCGGACTCTTAAGTACGATTCCACCGATTTACTCTTCAGGAAGCATGTAGGCCTTTTGGTCCTGGAGGACAGTGTAAACAAGAAGGTGTGAGGAAAACTGACATTTCCTTTACTTTATGTTCAACATGCTGATTATTGCTGAGCTTTGGAAGCCACAACTGACTTTCTGAAGGTTTTGTTATCAAGTTCTTGGATCAAACCAATGTGCCTCGGTAGATGGAGATAGCCCTGAGAGTTCCCTCTGGACGGTGCTCCCAGTTACAGGTCGAGGGCTGTTGTGGTATTTGTTAACTGTGTGACCTCCACTTGCCCCTTTGGTGCGGCGCTATACTTGCCCACTGTTTCCTCTCTCTTCTCAAAGCCACGAACCAGGGTTTTTCTTCAGTAAGATCAATAACTTAAGCGAGGACAGTCGAGTTAGTCTGTGAAATACCCCCTCACTGTAGCTGCTAATCCAAATGATACCACAAAGAGATCTGTGTGTGTATAGAGAGAGAGAGCGCGAGAGAGAGTGCGAGAGAGAGCGCGAGCGAGCGTCTGCGTGAGGAATGATGACGATATTACTGCACTTAACTGTTTTAACCTGTTGTACGGTCTCAGCTCGGGCTGAACACCTAAGGTGCTAAGAGGTGCGGTGCTGTAATTTTTGGGAATTGGAACATGTAGACCACCATTCCCTCAACGTTCCACAGCTAACCGTGAACCCTCGCCATGTTTTTGTTGTTTTGCTTTTTTCTTTTGTTTAGTGTTTTGGAGGAGGAGGTGCTGTTCAGAAGTTAAACGGAGTGTTTCGAAAAGCGGAGCTTAAGCTTTAAAGAGATGTTTGGTGCAGTTTGGGTTATTGTGTAATGACAGCTGTAACAAGTTAGCTCGTCCAATGTTGCAAATGAATGATTATTCAGTTTCAAAGGGCCAGATGTTCAAAACCCTTTAAGCTCAATTCCTGAGCGAAGTATGAGTGCGAAAACATATTTTTTCAGTCCTCTGAATCAAATTAGCTCCGCATGTTCAGAGCTTTTGAACAGCTGGTCTCTTATGCACATTGATAAGTGAACAATCTGTGCAGTTACACGAAAGTTTGAGGGCTCTTTCACATTACACTTGTTCTCGCCACACATTTCACTCCACAGTGTTCTAGAATAAGACATTTGATACAGTGCTTTAAATTCTCATTTGTTCCACCAGTCTGTTCAACTAGTCCCTGTTGAAAACTGTGCAGTGTAAAAGGGCCCTGTCTGAATAAGGGGGAAAAAGTTGGTCTGTAAAGCAGCTCTGCAGTCTACACATTTGGCTGCTTTTGGATGGCTTTGGTGCGCAGCACTGTGAAAACACCCAAAGTCTCCATACATTTGAAGCCTAACTGTTACTTCTTTGGCACTACCAGCATTTAATTGTACTTGAAATAGTTGAGATGGATCAGTAGGGCATGCACCCATGCATGTATGACCATTAGAGTCCTGTTTTTGTTCCTTATATATTACAGCATTCTGTAGTAAATTCTATCTACTCATGTTGCCACGGAAACGGTTGCTAGAGCCCGGTAGGCGGGGGGTGGAGCTGTTATTATTGTGAGGGTGGAGCATAAACTGTGACGTAACACACTCCTCCCCCTCCCCCCCACCTTTTGCTAAAAGCTGGACTATGGATGCCTTGGCTCAAAGCATTTTTAATTAAGAGCAGAAGTATATTTGTATATTTAAAGAATGGATCTGTATAATGCACACCACTTATTTTTGCTAACAAAGTCTATGAGAGATACCAGATGATAATATAACATTAATATTAAATAATGAGAGTATCTAATAATAATAATAATAATAACAATCGGTTAAAAAATGCAATAGACCGTTGACTTCTATGTTTTTGTCTTGTTTTTAGAACTTAATGTTCACCACATTGTCCTATGGTATTGGAGTTGTTTTAAGTGGCGAATGTTGTTTAACGAGCGGATGATCCTTCAGTCCTCCAACCTCCATACTAATTATTTTATTACTGTTTTTTTTTAGGGCATAAGAACTGATAAAGCACTGCCCTTTAAATGTCCATTTTGAAATGGTTCTTGAAGCTGTTCACAGAAATTGAAAAGTTTTATCCATATAAATGGTCTAACCTGTTTTTTCCCCCATTTTTATTCCCCACGTTGGAGGTGAAGGTTCACCCTACGAGGTGAATAGTGAGTGGAATGTGCCTTTCTTGATGGTGCTGATCTCAAACTAGTAAATAAAGGACAAAAAAAAAAACTTTTGAAATGTTCAAAGGGCACAGCAAGCCTCTGTCTACATTGAAGATGAGTATATATTGATACATGATATACTGTATAATGTGTGTATGTGTTCAAAGTGTGTGTAATTGTACTTCTTTGTTTGCCAAGAACACGTCAATATACTCAGTTTGCCAGTTACATTGTGTCAGGACCAAATTTTTCAGGAGTGTCTGCGGTCGAGTTCAGGGCACTTGGCATGGCAAAAGCAACTGTTTGGATGCTGACTCTTTAGGCTCTCGTCTTCAGAAAGCCAGTCCTAACCGCCTTTACTCTCTCTTTGTCTGCACCATTTCAGTTTGCCACACAAAATTATTCAGATTGTCAGCAGTTCCTTATTCAGTCATTTACTGAACAGCAATAACTAATAGTTATTCAGCATTATAGAGACTCTGTCACGTCATAAGAGAGGGCTGGAGTACGCTGGCCTGCATGAAAGGGAAAAGACTGTAGCTGGTGCTACGCAGCTTCTCTCATTAGTTTTCATTTGTGGTTTAATGGACTGAAACTTTGGGTTTAACTTAACTGACCCCAAGCTGAGATGATCAAAAATAGCTTTAAGTGAACTTCAGTCGTCACGGTTAGCTCAGGATTTCTGTGTGTGCGAATCTGGATTCAGCATACACAGATGTTAGCAAGAGCTGCTAAGGGTTTGGGTCAGTGCTCTGTAGTGCCATGTCAGTCCCCTCTCATCCTGAAGGCATTCCATGAAAATCTCCAAAAAGCAGCACCTCTTGCACTGAGGTGCACCCTTCATATAAATCCATTTTCCTTTGGTTACAGTGCAAAATGCATAATGCTTTTGATCGCCTGATAATGGAACTGTCCTGTTTTTTGGAATACAACTATATATTTTTTTGTTTTGTTTTGTCTTAACATTTATCTGATTCTGGTATTTCATTGAGCCTTTTGTTTTATTGTTCTATTTAATTGACAATATTTTAATTAAATATATATGTATGCAAAATTTTGTCTCAGCTTTTAATGTCTTTCAGTAAGAATGTGGGTTCAAGACTGAAACGAAAATATATACAGCTTTAAATTTTGGATTCTTCAGAGATTTTTCAGAATCTTTGCATAATTCAGTTGTTGAGAAGTCAACAGATGTCAGTTGTTCGGACTGTTTTGATGTGCAATATTTCTCTATAGAGAAATGTGTTGACTTTATTTAGTGGTGGTGATGAAAACCAGTGCTTGCCATGTCTACAACACAAATCTAGTCATTTTATTTACTATCCAAAACAACCAGTTACTAAAACACATGACTTCTGAGCCTTTATATGTAATGTTGATGATAGTAAAATAGAGCCAAATCTGAAATGTTTTGGGGTGTATTTTGCCATACAGTGCTATGCATGTGCCTCTTCACCTTGATTGGTTTTTTAAAGGTAGATTTTAAACTAAAACTTTCCCACAAATTATCATAAACCAATATGTCAAATATCAGACAGCATATTGTATTACACTTAATGTAATAATGTGATGTAGTTTGTAGAGGCATTAAACTCTACAGACGTCTGGTTCAAACCACCGTGAATGACCGTTTACATCTTAACCATTTAATTATGCAGAAATTTAGAAAAATCAACCTCTGAATCCGCCTCTTCACAATTCTCTAGATAGTTGCCACTGTTGCACCCTGTGATTTACAGAAAGGTTCTAAAGCCGATATATTTTGTCCCACATTTTTCCACCTAATGTCACCGGATCCTCTGAATTCTGAGGTCATTAAGGAGTCAAAAAGTGAACATTGCTACATCCAGGCTAATAGTAAGATAAAACACCTGCACATTGAAATTATGTTGCATGAAAGTAAGTCTACTATTAAACTTCAACACTGATAATACAGCAGCTACTCCTTATGTCCTCTACTCTGGCCAAAGCAACTCCACTACCACACTGGACAAAGCTTGCTGGTTTGTTGGGGTATTTTGGTGTGGGTGTCTTATGAAGTCAATTCAGTGCACAGCTGTGTTCGCTCACATATAGCAAAATTCATATTTTGACTCCTTAATAACCTCAGAGGATCCAGTGACATTTGAAAGATGTCTGTATACAACAAAAAGGATCAGGTGCGACAGCAGCGATTTTCAAAAAATCCCGTTCTTTTTTGTCATCGAGAAATCCAGCTTAGACCCGACTTGAGTGGTCTGTGAATTAGATGTGATGTGTTGGTCCTGTGCAGCTTTTCAAAACTCCCACCCCAGAAAATAAATACTCAATTGTTTGAATAAATAATTTATTTACTATACAACAAACATATACAAGAACCAGTGTTTTCACTCATTTCTAACACCAGATTTCAATGGTTCGTAAAATAAATTCAACACATTACTAAGACTTCATAGTTTCTCATAAGGAAAGGATCACCCTGTTTGTTTTCACAAATCTTTTTTACATTTGAACAAAGCATGACCTAAACGTTATGATCACCCAAATGTAGAAAATCACAATTAGCCAGCGTCATTATCATCTTTAAAGTTAACTTTTTAGGCTCTACGGTCTAATAAACAGTTTACTTCAACTCAGAAACAGGTCAACATTGACCAACCAAACAGCTACAAAGGATTTGGCAAAATCAAATTTACACAATTGTTAACTTACCCCAGATGTAGACAATCAGCCTTTTGCTTTTTTTTGTTTAACACTGTTGCTAAGAGGCTAATGTTGCTAACAAACCCTAGACGTTAATAGTCACCCAGATTTTTTCCATCCTAAAAGCTTCTCTTAACCCACTCAAACTGCATCCACTTCTTCGTTATGTTCATGAAGACTTATCAAGTTGGTTTAGGACACAGCATGACTTACTGCAGACTACAAAAATGAACAAAACTTCACTGTGCAGCTTAGGACAGTGTTAGTAACGTTAGCACTGTAGTTCCAATGCAAAACTAAAGAAGCAAAATTTGGTCCCCAAACATGTTTTGGCTGATCAACAACATCTGGAGTAAATGAAAACTGTGTAAATTTGTTTTCGCTCATTCCTTTAAGCCACCTTGTTCGCTGAGGAATAGCAGAGTGTCACCATGTGTAGGATGAGAAGCTGAATCAGTAAAGGTTTCAGAGCTGAAGCCTAAACTATACAAATATCAAATACATACTAATTCTAGTCAAGTCAAAGTGCTGTTACAGATTTGTTTTTACACCGAAGGCCAAATACTTCACTGTGAAACAACTTCTCTTATATTCAGTATCATCATCACCTAACTGACCATCAGACGTCTATAACTATAACTACAGGGAAATAAATTGCACGGCTGATTCTGGCACAGATGCCTTGGAAGCACATTGTAACACCCAAAATAACATTTCCCACATAAAAATGCAACAGCTGCATTTTTGCAGGACTGTTTTTGTAACTATCCACGGTCCAAAGAAAAGGTATGGAAGTACATCAAAATGCACACAAATAAAAGTAAGCCGACTCTGGGGTTGTTGTTCTGGCCTGCTGTCAGTGCGGTAAAGTGCTATCATAAATGTCTCCACCAGGTGGAGCTGAGGAAACCTAACAAAGGCTAACTCAGGCCTGCAGACAACAACGAAGAGTCAAATACAGCAAACCTGATCAAACATTTTGGAAAGTTGATGTTACATAACATCAAGTCTACATGTGGGTACCGTCCCCCTGAGACCTGTCTTCGGGGGGTTCCTCAGGTGAATCCTGAGCAGCAGGAACATCAGCCATCACAAAGGAGTCAGTGGAGCGGTTACTGATCCTCAGAGGCGTGAGGCGCCGCAGATTGGTGGGGCTGCAGGGTAGCTGGCGCTGTGCTCTCTGAGAAGGCGCTACGCTTGTGTCAGTCTCAACTTCCGTTAGCCAAGGAGGAGGAGGGGTGTCCATCTCCGGCATGAACGCTGGGTTCTCAATGCCAGCTATGATAAGGAGAAGCATAAAATTCCATTAATAATGGGGTCAAGCTAACACATTTTCCTATCCTGAAATAGATGATAGCGACTTAACTTTTACTCATAGCTTTTTATCCACAACAGAGATTAGAAACAGTACATCGAACAGCAAACATGAACTAGATTTTTCACAGAAGACATATCTGAAAACATTTACAGCTGTTTCAGTGAGAACACCTTATAATAAAATGCAGTTTATACCGTTATTTATCTCTCCACAGCTCCATCTTTCCACAGCTGCTTGTATGCATGCGCTTGTTTTTATCTAAGTTTGGTGGAATAAATTGGCGCTATTTCTAAGTAGCTTAGCTACCAAAAAGCCAGCCAAAATTTTGGGGTTGTAATGTCGCCTCATTATTTTCTTTGCTGGGTGGACCAAAAATCAGGAATATGGGGGGGTCATGATGTGGTTTTGGAGGGAACAAATGTATAATTTGGTGAACAGATAACAGAAGCGTTTTTTTATTGCGACTGTGGGTGAAAAGCAACATTATGTTGACCGAAGAGCAGTTCATCCATTTAGTGTTTTTCACAAAGAAGATAACACAGTTTGCTCTCTTGTTTAAGTTGGTTAAAGTTCATCTAAATGAACTCACTGGTGCTTGTAGTGAAATTTAGCACAAATGGGAGCGAATTCCTTTTCGCACTCCGTCCTTTTCTATTCAGCTGGCTTTTCCGGCAGGCAGATTTGACTCAATTTGACCATGGATCTTCCCCTGCCTGTGCTTCCTTATCATTACACTCTTCTCATTTATCTTCTCATTTATATTTCAGGCCAAATGAGTAACTATTTTCTTAAAAATAACACTGAGTTACCTGATTGTCTTACACTTCAGCTAGCTGTGTAGCTTACTTATTTCCATATTCACAGAAAATTAAGAAAGTAACACGCTTTCTTTAAATGTACAATATTTTATTAAACACACGCAGCAGGGATTGATTTGGTAATACCGTTGTTGTAATAGTGGAGGCCTAATTGTTTCAGAGTATGCAATAGTAGAACATTGTGAACCTTTCTTTCACTCTAGAAAAGTGGCACAGAGCGCTGGAGCAGGATAAACTACAATTAAGGATATTTTGTGCCTTTACATTTCAAACGTGAATGCTCACCTCCCACTGTGTATGGAGGAGCTCTCATAGGAAAACTGCCCCCTGCAGCTGCGCCATCACCACTGTAGGCACTGTCTGCTTCCGAAAACTCAAAATCTACAAGACAAATTCACAGAGAATCAGGAAAGAAAAATGTGACTCTAAAGCAGACTTAAAACTCCAAACACATCAACAGATGTACAGAAGCTAATAAGACATCTTACCTTCATCTCCATATGGATAGCTTTTACTGTTATCTGTACTTTTCCCATTAGACATCTGGAAACACATACAAGGTTGTTAGAATGGAGGCTTTTACATCTGTTAGAATGTAGTTAAAAAAACAAAGGACTGCGGTTTCTACACTTCTGAAAGCTCTCACCTTCTGGCTTGGCTCTTTCTTTGGGTGCTTTGTGATTTTCTTGGCAGGAGTGACACCCATCTTTGCAGATTTGAAGGACTCAAGGCGGGTCCTCATGGTCCTCTGGAAGATCTCCTGCACTTCGTCCTCACTCTGGTTGATTTTGAAGTCAGTGCGGCTGTACTTGTGACGGTGCTGAAAATAAATACACTGGCTTATTATTGTATTCTGGATGCAGGGAGTAGTTATTAGTTGCCCATGACACTGCTTATGGAAGAAAGATGATGCCTTATTTACTTAAAAATGAAAGCGTTCTTTGAATACTATACATACATTTTTCCTGCTCCGGTACAGATGCTGCTGCAGTAGGTGGTGAGCATTGAAGTCCTCATTCATGTCTTTCATGTCTTGCTCGTGAATGTTCAGAGACACCGAAGGAATGCTGTCACGTCTGGATGAACAGAGAACAAACTTCAGTTTATCTATGAACCTTTTATTTTGTTATTGTTAAACAATTATTTCTTCCAAGGTCACAACAGACAGATTGACCTCCTTATGACAACAATCAATGAATAGTGTGTCTCTCATAAACAGCCTGTGTTTACTCCTCCTCAACTCGCTCTCATGACTGTATCTAAAGAACATACCGGTGTCTATTTATACTCTCTAGCGCAGTGACCCGGTCTGAGGACATGACCTTAAGAGCAATGTCAGAAATACTGGATTTTCCAATGAATGTCATATCACTCTTAAAATGCACTCTTAAAAATAAATGTCCCTAAATGGATCTTGGCTTAAATGTAGGCTCTTAAACTGGTATAGAATCCTTACATTACATGGAGGTTATAAATGTCCTAAATCTTGAATTGCACTCCTGAAAATAGTGTCTCAAAAGGTTCTTTGACTGACGCCACAGAAGAACCACTTTTGGTTCCTCATAAGAGCCATGTTTAAAACAAAGATTTGTGAGTATAAAGAACCTTTTAAAGAACACTCACATAATATAAAGGTTATACACCAATTTAAACCTATACCTTCAAAAAGGTTCTTCATACTCACATACTTCGTTTACATTAAATAACCACCCACTGAAACTCTTAAAAATAAAGGTTCTTAAGTGGCTTAGATGTATGGTTCTACTTAATGAATATAGAATGTGTACATATGGTGAACATTAAAAAGGCTGTTCACACACATCTAAGTTACAAAAATGATTCTTTGAAATCTATTTTTGAAAGGTTATTTAGGAAACCAGGAGCGGTTCTTCTATGGCACTGCTCCAAAGACCCTTTTCTACATTTTCCACCTTTGTTGTGTACTTTAGTTCTACCTTTTTGTGTGCTGAGTGATGTATCACACATATCGCTGTTGTCGGAAAAAAACCTTGTATCTCCAACATGCTAACTTTACAGTACAAGGAAAAAACCTACTTTACTTTTAATGTAAGTCAATGGAACCAGACTTTTTTCGAGTCATTTTAGGCTGTTTCTTTTGGTCCATTCATCATGAAATTCACACACAATGTGAAGAGCAACAGGCATTTTCAGAATATGTCAAAAACTGAAAAACAACATAAATGGGCATGCGAGGTTTTCTTCAGACAGCAGATATGTGATGTGGTCAATCACCCTTACCTAATGGAGGTCATTGGTACGTTGTCGATGCCAAAGTCTAGCTCAGAGGTGATGTCAGGCATGACTCCAGAAAACTCCAAACCAAACTTCTTCTCAAAATCCACGTTAGTACGCTCACCATTGCGCAGGAAGGCCAGAGACCCACGTTTTTCCCCCTAATTTCAAAGCAGTAGATAAGAAAGTTTTTAAAGGTTTATATTCACTCACTGGCCACTTTATTAGGCACCACTACCTTGCATCTTTACTTTTTTCCCATTTTATCAGATCCACCAGTCATATAAAATATTCACCTCGGCAACATAATTAACGGCGTCCTCCATGTTAAGTTTGTGGAAGATGCTGAAAAGGTAATCTCTGTTCTTTCTGGCCTCTGGCTTCATCAAAAACCAGGTGATGTAGGTGTCCTCAAACCGCTTCCAGCTGAAGAAGTAGAACAAAGATCATGTCAGGAGATATAGACTTTTTAAAAAGTCCAAACACATAACAATGGTGTCTGCAAGCTAAAATCCAATTATTCCATCTCCAGTGCTCACCCTCTGGTCCACCAGTTATCTCCTATGCGTCCAGCAATGTCTTCCATTGCCGCCAGAATGTGTTCACATGCCTGTGCCACAAAAGTATGCAATCAAATTCAAGAATGTTGCTACATCTAGATGACTCTCTTTGTCTCTTTTAGAAAACTTAATTGATGCAAGAAGTGTGGGTGGGTATTTACCCTGTTGTTCACTTTCGCAATAAGTTTCAGCTCAGATGGTTCAACCCTCTTAACTTTGAGCCATTTGACAAGGGGCTTCATAGTGAGACCCTGGGGGAAAATGGTGATGTTAAAGCTGAGCCAAAAAATGAACTGCACCTGCCTTTTAATCTGCTCTTCGCCTTTAATCTGATTTCTCAGTGCTGTTGGTACATTTATTTTGACATGATATAACTATGAAAATTCATACACTAATTACAATTTTATTAGATTTTATTCATTGTATTACTTTTACCATTTTGAGCAAGCAAACATATAAATCAGCATATACTTCACAGTCTAGTCATCTTTTATTGTCAATTTGATGAAATCAGCTCCTGTTGATTAGAACTCCAGAAGACATTTTACCAGATCTATTGATGTGAGTCCTGAATATAGTCAATGAGAAAGTAGTACCTGAATAACGACAGTGAAGTACACCACAATGAGTGTTGTGCTGATGATCAGGTTCTTCTCTTTGATCCTGGTTTCGTCCAATGAAGCTGCCAAACCATACGCTACTGCCCCTCGCAGACCACCATAGCTCATGACTAGCTGATCGATGACCTCTATGGGAACCAGTCTGTAGCGGTTTAGCATCCAGGTCAAGGCAAAAACACCTGGGAATCAACATACAACCACACGCCACAATGAGACAAATGCTATGAACTATGGGTGAGTGATATAAACATATAACAGGCATTTTCACAGTAAATATCATAATATCACAGTAACATATCATAATATGTATATGTATCTATTGTTTATGGACGAGACTAAATGTAGCAGTGAAACAACAAAATAGTGTACCATTTAAAAAAGCTATGGAAAAGTATAAGCATTCTTTATACTTTATAAAGCAATAACTAACATGACTAATAACTAATAACAATAACTAACTGATGAATTACTATGAGGTATTGATAAGAATCAGAAGAAACAAGTACTTCACTAACTAGGTGTTTCATGCAATTAACTAGGTATTTCATTAATAAGCACAATCCATATAGACCCAAAGCTCAGGTAGGGGTTAGGCATAAGAGGGTTACTCTGGGAAAGTAGTAACTTTAGTTACTGCTAAATAAAGTACAAATGAACTAGTGAATTAACTGTTATTGACTTCATTTAAGGGCCTTATGAAATCCCCTTATACTGAAGGGTTAGTTATACAGGCTCTCTATAAACTGGTCTTTTTTATGATGCATGCAGTTGTTCAGTGCTGTCCACAATACACTCAGAAAAGTGTACTGTGATGTATCACAATATCGATAACATACCATCAAATTGACCACCCCTCAGTACCAAAGGTATTGAAAAAAATGTACATTTTGCTATAGTTTAACTTGTTCTGTGCCACACCCACAAGCACACACTCACCCATGAACCGGTAGACTATAGCGAATAGTATTGTGAGGCAGATGAAGCCAGTGTTCCACACCCAGATGACGTTATCAATGGCTGTGACACCCAAGAAGACAAAGATCATTGTCTCTGAGCCATTGGCGAACACCTTCATAGCGTAGCGCACAGCAGTGACAGACTTTTCATCCATGTTGGCGTTCACATATTTTTGACAGCAGACGCCACAGAAAGTAACTCTGTAACAGAGAAAAAAAAGTCTGTCAAATGCGTGGATCTGCACAAAGTCCATTTGCTGTTAAGAGATTTCCAATAATATGTTAAAATAATTTGGAAAAAAGGATTAAATACTAGAGCGTTTCAATTTCCAACTGAATTCATACACAGCCATCACATTAAATAATCACAGGCTGTTTGCTTGTTTAATGACTTAGTATCTGAAAATTCTAACTCATTTTCTCAAAATATTGACTTACTATCTCAAAATAGTATATTAACTTAGTATGGCAAAATAATGGCTTCTATAAATTATGTATTTATTTGAGTAAGGAACTGGAGTGTGAACCCATATAAACCTGCAGTTTAGGGCATAAAACATACAATTTCAGCTGATCTTAGGTGTAGAAGAATGTGTTCTTACGAAAGGATGGCCGAAAGCGAGAGCATCTCAGCTGTGAGGTAAGACAGATAGCCAAGAACGAAGATGAACCCAGCCTCAATGATTTGGACTTTTCCTGTATACTTGGTCAGCAGAGAAATGATGATGGCAAATGCAACGCCAATCAATGAACCTCCAAATGACACTACAAAGAATGAGACTGAAGGGAGAGAACAGACAAAAAGAAACAGAAAAAATGTGAAATGTGTGATGAAAAAAGGTAAATGTGATATTATTTATTCACATATACCTGCAACTATCAACAGTCTTGGGTAGAAACAGACTATCTGTAATCTGGATTATGCAATCTGATTATAAAAATAAAGACCTTATAAATCAGTCCCTTAAATTTGAATTTACTAAGTGTGCCCAATAACTGGATAACAACTGAGTCACAATGATAACAACAGTTTTGGCACTGAAAGGTGGATACTAGGGTTGTATTTGATATGGTTTAAACCTTATTAACGATTTTATGATTTTTAAAGAGTGATCCAAAAGTAATCCAAAAGTCCATACCTATGCCTTTGATGATTTCACCTGCATTGATCTTTGACCCTCCCAAAGACACAAAAGCATCAAAAACATTGTACAGCACCTGTGTGAGCAAGTAAGAATGAGCCAATGTAAGAAAGAGATAAGAGGGTTCTTCTCTTTGAAGAGCTGAAAGTAATGCTCTTACTGTTCATTATGAGGTCCACCTACCTTATAGGTCCACTACATAGGTGCACAATTACTGACTGTAGCTCATCCATTGACTAAATATCTCAAAATAATGACTTACTTTCTTGAAATGTAATAACTCATCGACTTAGAATTTAGAACTCAAAAGACTCAGTATCTTGAAATCATGACACACTAAAAATACTGGCTTAGTATCTGAAATGACTTATTACATTTCAAGCAAGTAAGTCAATATTTTGAGAAAATACGTCATTATTTTGAGATACTATGACAATATTTTGAGAAAGTAAATCATTATTTTTTGAGATATTAAGTCAAACACTTGAAATATTGCAGGAATTTACTCTATCTCTTTGTAGCAGGAATGGGCTTACATAAGCCTCTGACCCCAGGACCCTGATGAGATATTGTTTGGAGGGTGGACCACTCTGAACACAGCAGTGACAGTGTTTTGGCAGGGGCATTCTAGTGCTGGTACAGTGTACATCAGCTGAGGACTTTTATACATGCCAGTGTCACTGCTAGGATGAGAGTGGTCCAGCACCCCATCATATCCAGTTCTGTTGTCAGAAACTGGATGTTAATGTAGGATAACTAACACAAATTATTCTTCAACAGATGGGCTACAGTCTCTTCTGTGCACCAGCAAAGCAGACCTACAGGGGTGTTCTCAAATAAAGTGGCCAGTGAGTGTAGATTACAGCACTACTCTATCACCTACTAAGGTATGGTAACTTTAGCAAATAGAAAAGAGACTAACCACTGTGACTCCGTCATTGAGCAGTGACTCTCCAAACACCCAGATGAAGAGGACCTCGTTCACATGCACCTCCTCAAACACAGCAATCACAGCCACAGGGTCTACAGCTGCAAGCAGACTGCCAAACAGCAGGAACTGCAACAGTCCAATGTCCAGATCACCTGATGGGCAGACAGAAATGATCAAATTATCAAAGTCATTCATTCAAAGTTCCATTATGTTGAATAAACAGCTAGTCATCAACATTGCTCAGACATACCCATAGCTCCTCCTAAATAGCAGCCCCAGAGGGACACACCCACTGCGCCCGCATTCCAGCACGTCCCAATAACAGCGTGGACGAGAATGGCACCCAGGTTGCTGAAGAAAAGCTTGTTTGGCATGAAGTAGCCAGTGTCCAGGATGATCTGTGGCAGCAGGAAGTAGAAGAAGTTTCTTGGCTCAAGTTTAAAAGTCTGTGCCTTGTCTGCACCCCAGACAATCCCTCCCAGAATGAAACCAGAGATTATGAGGAGTCCACTCTCAGGAAAGAAGCTCTTGAGTCTGGCATTCAGTTGGGCCACTGCAAAGAGATTGAGAAGCACATTCATTTACATTGATACTGTTACAACTGTTCCATTCTTGTGTCTTCATGTACTCCTACATAGAGACATGTTGAAAGTGCTTAGCACTTTCAACAACATAAGGCTGGGTCTCATTGTAAATTGCATTGGAATGGCTGACAAAGTCATATTTACAAGTGGGAACTCTGGATTCTAGATTATACAGGAGTTTATGCAACCTTTCACCTTTTTCTTGAGGTAAAAAAACTAAAGCTGCCAGTGAACATGAAAAATATACCTGATGCAAAAACAAGGCATGTTTTCTCTGGACTGCTATGCTTTCTTTTTCCATGTGGTGGGTGCAACTTTGAATGAGCACCCGAATGGTGTTAGTCACATTAACTTGTTCACCATCTGGTATTTACAACCTTCCAATGAGCACCCAAATGCACCATATGCACTACCCTATTAGGCTGCCTGAAAATGTGAGTTAGTATCTTTAAGCAGGTGGTTTATTTAACAGCTTCACTAACTCCCCAATAAATCTGTGCCTTTTTTTTTTGCAATAACAAAAACTTACTGCCAACGTTATGTTTGGTTGTTATTCAGAATAAGTACAATATGGCATGTGAAGCTTTCTTGGAGACATTATCGGTTCTTTATCAGCGGAATTTCCACTGCTGTGGTGACTCGAGCATCTATGACAGGTCAGAGTTGACTGAATCCTAGCTGACCCCCAGCTCTATTCCTGCGCTTTACCTCACAAAATTGACCCTGAACACAAAACAATTATCATTGTGAAAACAATACAATTATACAGTTCTAATGCACAGCGACAAGGAGGGCACTTGTACAATTTGACAGCAAAAGGGCCTCTGCAGCCTGTCTGTGCACATGCTTGGGTGTCAATCTAAGAGGAACAGGATGGAATTGTGGTCTTCGTGCCTTGGACATCAGAAGCATGTTCTACCAGGCATCCTCTAAAACAGTGGTTTCAGTTGCGTGAATGCCTCTTTTGAATAAAGAGTAAATAACCACTGTTGTATAACCAGATCCCATTTTTTGAGACATTTTCAAAATTCTTTCCAAATTTCTGACAGATATGGCCAGAAAGATCATAAAAGGAACGCCCCTAAGAATGTCACTTGATAACAAATTTCAAACTAGTGTAACAGTTGACAGTTCATTTCTCAGAGTAGTTACTTTGGATAATTATGATGCACAGACATTACGGAGCTCTTGTACAGGCAATTGGCAGTTATCTGGCAATAGGTAACATAATGTTTGTTCACAATTCCACTGTTTTAAGCTGTTTTCCCAATAAACATTTTGCTTTTCCTCTTGTGATTTTTCAGTTTCAGTTGCTTGGTAACACAATGTGCCTCAGCCATAACATGTTCTCTCTATCAGGCCTAGTATATGTGCAAATGCATTGAAGATTCTATTTAAACTTTTATACTATTTGAATCTTTAAACAGTAGTTATGAACACTTGCTTATTTCAAAGCCACATACCAGAAATCTTTGCCACTCCAGCCACAAATATCCACAGTACTACCAGGTAAGGATTCTCCACATGATCCCAGTTTAATCTCACTATAAAAGCATCTGTTAAGTTTGTCTTTGCATGATGGTGCAGGCTTTGGGATTCCTCTTCACTCTGTCCTCCAGCCAATGCGCTACATATCAGAAATACCACCTTCAGTAAAGTGAGAAAGGTAGAGTGTGGCATTGTGACAGTCAAACGAATCAAGATGTAAACTTCTGAGCAACTAATTTCTACCACCTCCACACCTGCAGAGTCACTAGCTAAGTGATAAAAGTCCATGCAAGCCTGTGAAGGTATCCTTTCGTCCAAAGTTGCAGAAGATCCCTTAGGCACTCTTATTCTGAACAGTCCTGGCTTGGTTTGAGGCTTTATTCCTTTCTCTCTGTTATTCACTCTGTCTCTTTCACCTCCCTCCCTCAGACTCCTTCTTTTGTCCTGGGTCCCTGGTCAGTCCTTGGTCAGTGAGGGGGCAGTAGTGCGATAAGGGTAGAGTTCTGCAGAATGCACTTAGCCTTTTAAGCAATTCTAAGTGTTGCGGAGGAGGCTAAGAACCTCCTCTTGGCACATGTAGTGTGTCAAGTTTAGTAAAATGAGATTTCAAGTAACTGAGTACCTAGTAAAGAATAACTAATGTTGAATGGGATTACTATGTTTTGCTAGTGAAAGTGTATTTATGCTAAATATTACTTTTTGTTTTTGCCACTGTATATTAAATCAGTCTAGCTCCTGTATTTTTATTAAATGGCATAATTGTATTTTGTTGATGCTATTGTAAAAAGTAACTGGGCTTTTACAACTATGATCTGGCATTATGTTCAAAATATTAGCTTCATAATAGCATATGAATGAGCTAGCTTAATAATCCTCACCTTCTTGAGAGTAGACTGAAGCCATTTGTGGTGATATACATGTCAAGCATTAACTCATTATGGAGCACCGGGCTATTAAAATGTGTAAATTGCCTGAGGAGCACTATAAAAAAAACATTACAATACAATACTTTTAAGTACTGCCTTGAAATAAATAACAGTTAACAGCCACTGGTGGCTGCAAGCTTTCATTTGTTGTTAGCAATGTTACCAAGCTTGGTCCAATCCCTTGCATTTGGCTAGTGCTACTTCTTTTAAATAGGAGCTTTAGCATTTGCTATTTCTTCAGCCTAACATTGTTTTTCCATTAACTTTCTTTTTTAAATTAAGAGTAATACTACTATTGCTCGGACTACATGAATGTGCTACACATTGGAATAAATAAGTAACTGATAGTAAAAATATAAGCTTAATTTAATTTTTTTTTTATAAGCTTATTTGATCTTCCTCTCTGGACTAATGCCATGTATGATGAGGCACATATCAGTGTCTTCACCATTTTTACAAATTTACAAATCTAACTTCCAGGCCAGCAAGCGCCCCAAGAAACAACATAAATTATGGCATTTAGTGAAAGTTAACTACGATGGTCATTCAATAATTTTGAGGACAATTTATATCAATTAATCGCAACTAGTCACATTATTTTGTGTGGTTAATTGCAATTAATTGCCTCCGTCTTATTATTTCAAATTTAAACCTAAAATGATTCTTTGCATTATAAAAGCAGAGCATTTTGTTACAGCTATATGAGTATACAAACACCACTGAGATCAACAGTGGCTGCATGTTCCAAATCCTCTACGATTGTAGCCTCTCGTTGTCATTTCGCTGTGTCACTTCTTGTTTCGAGGGGAACTGGAGCTTTCCACTTTGCAGTTGCTTTTGTTTGTTTGCTGCTTGTTGATCTATTAGCAGTTCTCCAGTGCTAATGTTATTGATATTACTGATATTGTCATCAGCTGTGAGTTTTCCTTGTAAATGATACTTAAAACTCGATGTACTTAGGTGATAAACAAATTCACTATGACAGTAGCTGGACATAACTTTCCAGCCTTCACTGAAACTCACTATTCAAAAGCTGTATTTGAGTGAGTTACAGGAGCGAAAGTGTGTTAAAGAATTTATTGCATGGTATAGTGTCCTATAAAGCATAGGTTCTCAACCCTAGCCCTGAAAAACCCATCATTCACATTTTAGTGTTTTCCCAGCTCTTACACACCTGCCTCAGCTCAGAAAGGTTTTCTATGTGCTGATTAGTTGGATCAGATGTATATTGGGAACCACTGTTCTAAAGTGTAGAGGATTCATATTTTGGTCGTCTAATTATTGTTACTTTTGCCATAAATCCAGAGATGGGAATTCCAGAGTGATCCATTTATGACTGGATTCATCTCATTTTTCTCATAACTAACGTCTGAAGGTATTTTTAGGTTCAAACTGTGCTAAGAGACTGATACATTGATTGAAGTTGGCATTTGTAGCATGCCAGGGGTTTTTTTTGGTGCCATTGTTCTGACTGGATTCCTTGCCTGCTTCAAGTGTCCTTCTTATCAAATGTGACAGGGTTTGTTTTGTAGAAAAAAGCAGCCACCAAGATGCCTGTCCTTGTCTTTACAACTAGAGCCATTGTATGCTGCTGTTTCATTTTATACTCTATAAATATTGTACAGTAGCCTCAGGACGTTTTCAAAGTCATTTTGGACCATCTGCAAAGAAACAATATGCTCAAACAATAATGATCTGAAACTCATCGGCCACTTTTTGAAAGAAACCTTGGGAGAAAAGAAAACGACAGAATGGACTGCATAAAATGAATAGCACTTGTTTGAAATTTTGCTTTGTAACATACAGTATTTAAGTAGGTGCAAATGTCCAAATGCTTTTTTGAGGCCACTGTATGTACAGAGTCTAAAAGCCTGCATCTCCAGTGTCATGGAAGACCTTGAACAAGACTGAGGTGAAATGAACAAACCTTCACTGAAAGGTTAACTCTGTCCCTCTGCCGACGCTTCATTTTAATGATTGATGTGCCCCTTTCACAACGTCCGCTAGTTAGCTTTCCGGAATGCATGGGTGGGAGGTTTAAGGGTGATACATTTTAATGTTTTTATGGACGATCTTTTTACCTAGTTTACTAGTTCACCTGGCATTTTATGGTTGCTATAGATACATCGGCCCTTACTCGTCAACTTGCGTACGATCAAATCTGAGAGTAAAATGAATGCACACAAATTTATCTTCTTCGTCTTTGCCAAATAAGTGAAAATGATCAAACTACACAATCAAAATCACATTACTTTATCTGAAAAAGAAAAAGTTCACAACATTTTGTTCATTTTACATTGTATTCTTTTAATTTGTTGTAATTTTAAAGATCTTCAATCTTGGGCCAGTGGGGGGCAGTTCACTTGGTGCTTGACCCCAAACTCTGCCTATAAAAAACAATCATTGGCTCATAAGCTTGCTGAATACTTTTGTTTTATTGGCTCACTATCAAAACATCTGCATGAAATAGGGTGTGTCTTATGTAAATCTTATGTATATGAGGGCAAATTTGGGTGTGTCCCTTGTAAATGAAAAGTAAATAAGGTAGTTGTGCATGGACACTGACTTTCAAGCGCTGAAGCTGATTGATTAATTGCGTCCAAATCGCCACCTGTTTTGACATCCCAGAGCAGCTCAAACGCAAAGAGTTGGTACAGCATTCAGGATGGTTAAATCTGTGCTTGTTTCAATGAAACTTTGATAAATAAGGTCCATTGTCACTGCACATGTGGATACTTATTTATGTACATTTATTTTTAATCCTAATCATTTAATTCTGATAATAATTGTAATAATTGTTACACCAATTCATCTGTTTGGTTGTAGTCTTCTCTCCTTGCCCTACAACAGCTACATTACTCCAGTCCTACACACTTGTCCCTACATAATGCATATTTAGTCGTACTACATAATATTCACACTGAAACTGCACATATTCTTATCCAAATGTCTAGTATTTTTAGATGCAAAGCACCTCATTGACCTGGCTTGTAACGCACTTACATTCTCACTCACTCACTCACATTAAATAAGATTGTGCACAAGGGGGGGCTACTGGTACTCTAGTAACTAGAGGGAAAACAATCTTGTGTTAATTGAAATGACTGAGCCCACTGAGCAATATGAACACACAAGAAGTGCATGCTTTCTAGGACTTTTGGGGTACTACATGGTTGCTTCGCATCAATGACACTTCACGTCCTTGCTTAGTACATTTCTGTATGTATAGGTCACTGTATATTGTCTTTTTCTCTGTGTTTATATTGTGTTGTACAGCCATAGACAGAGTGGAATTGCCTGAGCCTTACCACAAGCATTTTAATATACAGATGTTCTTGGCATACTGTACATATGGTAAATAAAAACTTTGACTTTCTGTTGAAGAAGTTGTTCAGCTGTTTCCTTCAATGACCTTAACAACAAGGTAGGGACAATCATTTTCTTTCTGTATGCTTTCAGGTCACAGTGTATTCCATGTGTGTCCACAACCTGCCAGCAAAAGCTACAAAATAGCTGTAACTGAAGTCACCAAACTAAAGTCAACTTCATGCAGTGCCTCGCGCTTTCAAGGACAGGAAAATTACGCGAGCAAGTCATTAGCTATTTAAAGCCATGCATTATTAACCCGGGGCATTTCCATAGTGGGCACTGTTCCGGGCAGTGGGAGTAGCCATAACAAGAGAAATAAATAAAAGGCAGAAGTTTATAAAAATGTCACGCATTAACTCACTATGTACTTGGGTGATGTTTTCAGACGTGTTCAATGAGCAACACAGGGTGTTTAAATGTGCCTGTGGGGCACTGTTAGAAGAGAATGTGGGCAGGTACTGCCTTAAAGGAATAGTTCAATCCAAAAATGTTAATGTTGCAAGTAATGGATGAACGCAAATAGACACAAATTAGCAATATGTAACTGGTGTTATGCTAATGGATGGCTAATACATTTTCCATTGTCAGCCATGCTAGCTTTCCTTTAACTCTGTGGCTATAACCTGCATGAGTGTCAGAATCACAAGAGCTTGTTATCAGTGTAAACATTTCAGTCACAGTTCATTTAGTCTGCCAGTCACAAAACCTCTGACTTACAAATGACATGACCAGATTTTGACTTTGGCCTTCACCTCGGTCATCATAGCTCCAACCCAAATCTCTTCAAGTAATGAAGGCCTTCAGGATCTTCTGAGTATTAGAGAGAGGTGTGCTCGATCTGAACTCTCCATTATGTGGATGTTCATTAAACTTTAAAAAGGTTCCACACACTTGTTTGTCTCAGTGTTCTTTAAACAATCATCCACTGATAAAAGTGGTTTAAAGTGGTTCTTATATGGCATATCTAAAAAAAATTGGCATCTTTATTTTTAAGGGTATTTTTAAGTTGAAACTGTCATGAAATAACATGTTCATGTATCAGTAGTCATGACTCGCAGCAGTAGGCTCCTCGAAAGAACTTTATCAGTCCTTTCTAAATTCTATCGAAATCTAACAGAAGTAAAAATGAGACAATAAAGAAAATAAAATATGCATTGAGCTGAGGCACATATTTTTCACATTCACA